TATAACGACAATAACATTTTTTAGTATTTATATTGTATGTATTATATATATAATAATCAAACTAAAAATAATTTTTACGTTTGATTTTCTATTATTATCTATCTATTATTACTATCTATTATATATCTATATCTATTTTTTTTTTTAATGAAAGAAAAAACAAATTTTTTATTTATTATATATAATGTTATATTGTATTTTTATTTTAAAGAAATTTATATAATATTCACTAAAAATATTAAATGCTTGTTTTACATAGTTTTAAATAAATAGTTTTAAATACATAATTTTAGTTGTATGTACCTGAAATTTAACGCAAGTTAATCAAATTGGAAGTTTATCGACCTAGTCAACTGCCGAGGCATCATTAATTCTTCATATGTAAATTGATCTGATTTGGATACTAAAGTAAAGTCGTTATCTATGTGGGTCTCTATTGTATTTAGTTTTGCCTTTCACTGAAAATGCTTAAAATTTAAATAAGAAATTATCAAGCTCAGGAGGATTTTTTATTGTTTAAATGAAAGCGAGAATAGAGAAAATGTATGAAAAATTGAAAGCATTCGAATGTTCTTGTGTTGCCTCAGCCCTGGTCGCTGGCTGCTGTGCTTTAGCCTTTGCCTTTGCCTTCGTCCAGAGCCCGATGCTGATGATCATGACGCTGCTTAAATGTTGTTGCTCTTGTTGTTGGAGGTAGCGTGTCGTCGTAGCAGTCGCTGTCGTTGTCGTTGTCGTTGCGTTGTCGTTCCCTCATCTTAACGTTTGTTTGTAACAAGTAACGCGCATCTGCATCTGCACTTGTGTGTGCGTGTGTGTGAGTGTGTTTGTCTGTTTGCTTGGGCAAAGAGTTACCTGCCCTGCCCTGCGCTACCTGCGCACAGGTAGGCGTATGCTTGTATGTATATGTACTTGTATCTGTATCCTTGGCAATGCAGCAGCAGCAGAAGAAGAAGAAGACGATGAAGGCAACCAACGGTCAGCAGCGTCCGCACAGCATCAGCAAAAAGAAAACCTTCATATGGCCATATATAAGGTACAACAGGTATGTATGTGTGTGTGTGTGTGTACATAGAGAACCCGAAGTATCAGTCTGACTATACATAAGGGTTATAGTTGGTCCATCTCTCCCTCTCTCTCTCTCTCTCGCCTTCGCCCTCACTCTGTCTGTCTCGTTTGGTATGTGCATCTTCTCTTCTCCCGGTCTTGGTATGACTTGGCAGCTTGGGGTAGCTAGGCGTCTGCCTTTGCTTAATGGTTTTAGGAAATCGAAAATTAAATAATTTATCTCGATTTTATGACGTTACAAGCAGGTTTTCCCCCCCTATAGAGGCCGGGCATGCGATAAATCTTCAGCTTACAATCAAACTAAATAAAGAAAACTGAAGAGAAAAAAAAAAGAGATGCTTTTAACTCGCCAAGCGGGCAAGGCTCTTGTAATTTAAATACTTAACTCTCTAATGCCATATAAGTCCATGCGTCTATGTTAGACGCCCCTAGACTGAGTCAGCTGAGCTGAGTTGAGCTGAGCCCACGTCTTATCGACACCAAATGAATCAAACGGGTGGCTATTTTTAAACTGGATCTCCTCAATTTTTATTTATTTTTGTTGATTTCGTAGTTTTGGTTGTGTTTTTTTTTTCTCTCTTTATTTTTGTCTGGTCATCGCTCTCAAGTGGGGATTCAAATCTGAGAAAGGCGCAGAGAAAGTGCCGACCACGCTGTGGAGCGGAGCCACAGTTAAATCTGAAGTTGACTAAGTGGTTTGTCATTGTCGTGATGAAAACATGTCAAATGCCAGCCCGAAGCTCTCCAGCACCCAGAGCTAAGAATAATGGTAAACTTTGATTATTACCGTGTCAAGCAGCCGCAGCAGCAGCAGCAGCAGCAGCAGAGAGAAGCAGGAGGAGCAGCAGCAGCAGCTGGTCACAAGTAGCCGAAGCGCTCCACATTGATGTGTCTTGCGGTTTGGCTTGAAGCATTTTAATAGTAGCCATAAAAAAATCATGTTTATTAATGATGCGGATAATTGTGCTGCGCTTGCTAGAGATGCGAGGCATAAGACAGTCAAATGCTGAGATTTTATCCAATTCAAATTTGTTGTTCTAAGCTTTGGCTGTTGCTTTGGAATAGATGTAATAAATAGATTTATTCATTTGATGCTCATTAAGATGCTCATATTGCCACGAAAATCAGATGCTGCACAGATCTGAGACGAGAGATCTGAGTTTGAAGTGCCCAAGACTTAACTGCTTAAATTGTCCTTTTAAAATTTATAGTTTAAAATTAATTTTTTAACGGCCTGTACTAAATCTATTTTAAGTACTCGAAACGATTTGAAACTCTCCTGCAGCATCTTTTAAAAAATATAATAAATTAATAATCAAATGCAGCATAGAAAATCTGAGATCTAAAATTGAGACAGATCACCGAAGCACTCCTACTTGAATTATATTTCGCGATTGATCGGCTAACTAGTTTTTCGGCCAGCTTTAAGTGTATCCATTATATTTTTAGTAGTAAGTAATTCCATCGGTTGGCTTTAACTCTATATTTATTTGCTTAACGATTAACAAGAATTTGTATTAAGAACAACTTTAGCATAATTTAGTAAAGCCTAACTTTCTCAATGCCATACCACAGAGTGGGGTACGGATCTTTCGGCTGGTATCGCTCAATAATATTGGTGAGCAGTGGCAGAGCCATCGCTAGTGGTTCCAAAGTGTTTTCATATATCTGGAACAGTTCCGCCCACTGGGCAAGCACTGCCATCAGCTCTTCATCTTTGGAGATGGTCAGCAAAGGAAAGTGTGAAGTGAGCAAGGCGCTCAGCCATTGGAAGGCTTGCAGCTCTGTGGGCGTATTGCCCAGCGTAACATTATCTAGGCTGGGACGCTCCTCGAGCAGCATATCGGGATCGGTGGCCAGCACATATAAGTGACGCAGCAGACGCTGTACATGCGACATTTCCAGACGTTGCTTGAGATGCTGCTCGATTGCCGTGGAATTGAAGCTGCAAGCGAGCACTGCATTAAGTAGCTCATCATTAGCCGGCTCGCTGGCATTGTCATCCGTTTCCATGGCGTCGCCATTGGTGAGCGACGTTGCAGTGTTGTCCAGCGCATAGCGCAAGCACCAGGCTAGCATATGCTCCGAGATGTTTGTGTAGCGCCGCACACACATCAGAATGTGCTCCGTGTTTCGCGTTTTAATGAACAGCGTTAGGAGTTTCTCTGTGATCTCCTCCTCGCCCGCGCCGCTGCGTTCCAATTGCCTTACTATTGCTTGCACGGCCAAATTCTGTGGCCCCTCATCAAAATAGTTGGTCATCAGCGTGATATTGACATCCTCCAGTCCGTTGGCCACTTGTATCACCTCCCCGTCAATATGCTGTTTGATGACGTCGTTTAGTTCGTTCTTCGATATTTCTGGTGATTCAAAAGCCACAGTTTTGCCATCGGAGGGTGGGAGCTCTGCTAAGAGTTGCTTCGACATCTTAAGCTTCGGCATATTATTGTGTGCTGCCTGATGGCGACTGCTGCCTGCAAATTTGATCGCCGCCTCTAGGGATTCCTCCTCATTTATATGATCCAGCTCAATGGGCGTCAAGTGTGTTTCATTCAACTGGGAGCCCAGCATATTCACCAGCAGTTCGGCATTCATGCGATATTCCACCGCGGCAATATTCCTGCCCATGGCCAGCAGGATGTGTTCGTCGCGTGCCCACAAACGCGAGAAATCCAAGTAAACTTTAAAATATTGCTTGGCATTGACGATCTTAAACTGCGTGTTGTAGACAAGCAGGGAGGCGCCTTCTTGGCCATAGTTAGCCCCGTAGATGGCCGCAAAGTTCCGCGACAGACCATAAACTGACAGCTTGCTCTCCACATTGAGCTCGGCAAGCATTGACACAAACTGACCCGGTGAAGATTCATGGGAACGTTCTCCAAGGTTTAGAATGAAGATGCGTTTATCGGACCCTGTTCAAAAACGGTTAAGGAAGAATAAATCTTCGGTACTACTAATGTTATGTCATTACTTACAAATAGTCATCAATTGTGGCCCAGTGTCGCCTTCAACGACAGCGTGACCGGTCAGGCGTACCGTCTCCCTCTTTATGGGATAGACACGTTTTTGGGGACTGGATAGGGCCTGCCGTATCAGATTAAATTCACCCGTAGCATGCTTTTCCTCAAAATACGTGAGCAATTTATGTCCATTTGCAAGGGTATGAACTGTTGGCTTGCTCAGCGTTTTGCTGGCAGCAAGAGCCAATTGCTCGGCAGTATCCTCTTTCTGATTCTTCCGGGATTCCAAGGCTTTTGAAAGGGGCTGGCAGGAGCCATCGCTATATAAAACGAGTGCTTCGACTTCTGTATACACCACGTGCGCAATGCTCTTTTGGAACTGTGTGGATACTTAGTTAGTAACAATATAATCACATTTAATCAATTACAAACCTTTAACTTTTTGCACTTGGATACATCGGGTGTGTCCACATCCCACAGGCGTATCGAATGGTTGCCGAAGACCCCAACGTATTTCTGACTATGTAGATCGTAGACCACCTTTGTGGATAACTTTTCTGGCATGGACCAGCTGTACAACTGCTTATGTGTCCTAATCTGAAATTGTTTGTTCAATATTAACTGAAATTGTTACAGTATAAACGCATCGCAGCTTACATTCAAAATAACAACAACATTGCGAGCTAGCGTGGTGATTACATTTCCCGATTCCTTGTCGGCCGCCATGCCCAGAAACTCTTTGGGATCCGGTATAGGGAATAAATTGTAATATGATAAAAACTTGGACATTTTCAAGCAGTTTAATTAATGAAAACCGAATCAAAACAATGCAACACGTGCGGCTAAACCAACTCGGAATCTATCGAGTTGAATTTTTGGCTGGACTATCGATATTTTAAAAAATATCGATGGTATTAGATTAGAATTTTATTGGACTCATAGATAAGAATAGATTCCAGAGAATAATGCAACTTTGTGTAGCTTAAAATATGTAAAACTATATTAAATTGGTGGATTTATTTGTTTAATTTTGTTCGAAATTAATATATGCGAAATAATACCGTGGCTATAAAAATACCAAACAGCTGTTTTTGGCGTATGATTGCGTGTGCTGTTATGTTTTTTGCATTTGCTTACGTGCGGCCACATTGCTAGCTTACTTCAACGTGTTAGAATGGGTGGAAAAACGAAACAAGCGCCTCGCGTTAAAAACAATGCAAAGGTACGGAAAAAACACATGCTTGAGACGCACACAATGACTAATGGTTTTTTGAATTTCATGATATTGCGATTAGCCGTCGAGCAGCAGCCGTACCGCGGAACTGTTGGGCACAACAACGCCCATATTCGTCGGATTCTCGGCTCAAGCTGATGGCAATTTGGTGCCCTTTGCTCCTGGCTTCGCCAGCGCCGAACAAATGCCAGAGACATTCGATGCCAACATAAGTCCACAGACCCAAATCATACTACGTAAGCTATCCAAAAAGGATCCACTGACAAAGAAGAAGGCGCTGCAGGAGCTGCATGAGCTCATATCAGAATCCAATTTGGATGCACTCAAAAATATTTTGCCTTTGTGGCCAAAATTCTATCACAATCTGGCGAATGACGTAGAACATGCGGTGCGTGAGCAAACACAGACCGTACAACAGTTGCTTGTCTCCAAATGCAAACGAGCCATGGCCCCATATCTTAAGCAATTGGTGCCCGTTTGGCTGGCCAGTCGCTACGACAGCTATGCGCCCGCAGCGAGCATTGCGAGGAATTCATTTCGTGAGACCTTTGCACGCTCCGGCGAAGTGTGCCTGCATTGCGAAAGTGAAATAATTGAGTACTGCGTGCGCAATTTGACCTTCCACACGCCGTCCACGCTGTCCATAGGCAAAAGCCTGAAGCCAGAGGAGGCAGAGCAAAAGTATCAACGCGTTGTCATTGGCAGTTTAAAGGTGCTAGCTTACTTTATCGAGCAAACGGCACAGACAGCGCAGGAGAAGCTAAAGGAAGGCTTAGTCACGCTGCTGGCTCATCAAAAGTTCTGGACATTTGCCAAGCACAAGCTGCCCGCCATTAAGTAATTATCCTAACGGAGAGAATAAAACAGTTTTACAATTATTTTCTCTTTGCAGAGCTGCTTGGTTCGATTGCATCTATCATGTACTGCAATGTGCTCAATTGCTGGAAGTGCTCACGCCTCAAAAATCGCAGTTAACTACCACCAGCTTTCAGTTAATCGACGATGCCGATCCACTGGTCGCACCACACGTTTGGGGCTGCGTCTTGCTGTTGCAGAGTAACTATACGGATTGGTATGATTGGAGAGCCAATAGTTAATTGACGTCTTCTCTAATTATATTCTCCCTCATTTATGCAGGTACTCTCCGCTCAACATACGCAAAGCCCTGCTGCCGAAGCTCTCTTCGCTGCTGCGCAATGCCTTCAATGGTAATGCTCAGGCAATTTGTCCGAATCTGTTGCCGTTTCTATCGAAAATTACTGCCGAAAGCTTGCAGGACTTGGACCTTTATGAATTCTATCAGCGCTTCTTCGATGACCTAAAATCAGCAGCCGTGAACCCTCATGAGCCGCCGCTCTGCAAACAAGAGATCTCCATCATACACAATGCGTACTTTGAATGTTTGCGCTTTATGCTGCAACAGATCAACAATAATGCACAGCGTACTCCTGAAATAGAGGACTTTGGCTATGGGCTGCTGGAACACCAGATATTGGAGCCCATTGGCAACTTGCTGCACAGCGAAAGTATTCATGTCAAGTACTTCTTCCAACATACGTCAGCGTTGGTTGCGTTCTGGGATCGTGAGTGCAATAGTAATGCGGATAAGAGCGCCTGCTCCTTATATGTGCAACTGCTAAGCAAGTTCTGGACGCGCATCTTTGAGCTGGTTACCCAAGATCTCGCAGCGGAGGATGTCAATGAGCAGCTGCTGTCCCATGTGCTGCTGTTGGTGCAGGATCTGCATGTCGCCAATCCCAGCTTGGAAACACAAAGTGTTAAGTTTGCCGAGGCAGATGAGGAAGCAACTGCTGCAGAGCCGACTTCCCAGCAGTCGACGCCCACCAAAAAGGCCCACGATGCGGCCGCCTTCATACAGAAAGAACTCAAACAGTTGGTTGTGAAACTCGTGCGCATTTGCCTAGATAAGGCGAGCAACAGCAGCAACTCTGCTCGCTTCATTAGACAAGTGCGAACGCTGACCAAAATGTTTGCAGACGCTGACTTCTACAAGAGTTTGACCGAAGAAGGCGAGCTGCGTGCTACACTGGATAAATTTGTATCGATTCTGGAACAGTTAAATGGAGATACCTGTGAGTCGGTTGTGGATATTGTCTTTGAGATTCTGTCGATGCTCGACCCTGGGCCGCGCTTCGAGTATATTGGTGACACTCTGCTGAAAGTAAGCGAATATTACATCAAATTAGAAACTGTTTTAGATTTATTACTCTTGTATTATAGATTCAACAACAGCGCGTACAGAATTTACTGCTGCATCGCCTGCTCTCGTATCCCCTATGCACCGAGCCTGCCGTGCGGCAAATGCTCGTCAGCTCGGAGACATGCGAGGTAATCACACGCATTGCCAAAGAGGTGGTGCTGGATAACGATCGGGATAAGTTGAATTTGCTCCACAAGTGCTTCTTTCAAACGGACACGGGTGATATTCTAATAAATGCAGCCACTGTGGACAATATACTGCTGGCCATGTGCGAGCCATTGAATAAGATAGCCGAGAACGATATGGTCGAGGTGTGCGGCAGTTTTATAGCTCAGATAATGCCTGTCATATGCAGCAAGGTGAACTCATCGCTGGCCGTGCGGCAGCAGGTGTTCTTGAAGCTGTTCAAGTTTAGCCTGGAGCAGAAAGTTAGTGATTACCTGTCGGAGGACACGCTGTGGGAGATAACCACCTGCTGGCAGGATGCACTGTCCAGCAAGGACATCGAAATCAACGACGAGCTGCTGCACAGCTGTGCGCGCATCGTGGAGGAACTAGTAACGAATGCCGAGCACGATGCCAACAGCTTGCAAGACATGGCCGAGACAATGGCCAAATTTATCATCTGCTCCACGGAGAACATTGAGGATGAGACACAACGGCTGTCGCGCATAGACGAGACCTTGGTGGCGTTGCTTACCTCTGAGCTAAAGACAAATGAGCTTGTGCTGCAATTCGAACATAATTCTGTTTATTTGGAGACAGTGCACAGATCACTTAGCGCTGGCATTCCCTTCAGCAGTGCAGGCTTTGATGAAGCCAAGGTCATCCCACTGGTAAAACGAGCCACCCTCAATTTCACCACAATCTGCAAGCTGGTTTGCCGCGTTGAGAGTCCACAGATGACGGAAGTCTCCAACGAAGGCGAGGATGAGCTCACCGAAGACTATTGTGATCCCAATGCCAATCTGCTGAAGCAATGGAGCGAGTGCCTCATTGCTGAGATGTTGCAGTGCATGCATGTGGCCTCTGCTGCCGATGCCTGGCTAGATCTCGCCGAAAACGTAGACGACGCCAGTGAGGATCTGGTGCTCTATCTGTCCGAGCAGGTGTGCAGCTTTCTGGGGAACGTCAGTGAGTTGGTAGAAATCATACAGGAACGGCTGCAGCAGGAGGCGTTGCAGGAAAATAACGCCATAATCTATCGTCTGTTGGGCTATTTGATTAACACTGCTCATTACAAGTCGTTTGAGGAGAACGCCACGATTGTTCTGCACGAAGATCTCGCCGAACAGTTTCTGTCGAAAGGCGCAATTAACGCTTATGTCCTAATGATGCAGGTAAGTAAACTGCATGCATTTCCATTAATCATTTACTAAAGCATTTCTCTTTACAGCATTTGCTGCCGAAACTGGCGCAAAACTCACTCAACTGGAGTAGCACCATCATGCGCACGGAACCCAAGGATGTGTGGTCAAAAGCAGCTGTCTTCCGCTCTGTGATACTCAATAATTTCGAGTCTGATAGGAATATGCAAACGGATCGCAATTATGTTGCTGCTGTGGTCCAGTATATAACTTACATTGGGGATCAGCAGAGCTCAACGAAAGAGCTGTTCCACCATAATGTGTAGGTTTATATTTGCATATATTCTGATTATATTTTGTATTGAGCTTACTTGTACTTAATCAGCGAATTACTTAATCAACCATATGAGGCAGTGATAGGCACTGTGGAAATTATTAAGCTGCTCGAAGAGGTCATACGACGCTTTCCCTATGAGCTGACCATTAAGAACTGGGATACCATACGCATTGGCCTTGGATCCTGGGTGCTTACAGTTTCCAAATCGATAGCAAATTACAAAGACCCAAAGGTGAGTAGACCATAACTAGCTATATATGCTTGTCTTAGCTAATACACACTTTTCTCTATTTGGCAGACATCCTTCTTCATTGTGGCTGTGTTTAAACTATTTTCTAAGCTCAGTGATTTCGTACAATTCGAGAAGGAGAAGAGCTCAACACAAATGCTTACGAATATGATTGAGGAGTGGGAGAGCCTGTTTGCCAGGGAGGTGAATGTGGTGCTCTTCAAGTCCTACTATAAGCTGACTCACGAGACAGATGTGGAGCCAGAATTCCGTGCCTGCTACAGGGCGTTGTTGAACCGCATAATTCCTGCGCTGGAACTGATGGACTATAGATATATTTATGAGGTAGCTAAACTCAATCATAACTATATACAACGTCGACTTCAATACGATCTCTTTGGTTTAGTTTTGCAAGGCGCCCAACTCATCGCTGTCTCTGGATCATCTCTGCAATTTCCTGCTCAAGCAGCTACACAGCTGCCAGCACTCCGTTCGCATGAATGCAGTTCACGCGCTTCGGCAGCTGACGCCACAGTTCGTGGCCGACGACATTGAGCTAAATGATAAGCAAAGCGATAATATTGAGGCTGCCTCTTCGACCATATCGAAGTGGCATTTCCTCAATCGCTTTGAGGATTACCTGAATCGATATGATGCACTCATACGCAAATATTTGCTAGAGTTCAACTTTAAGGTGACCGAACTGGAGGATCTGGAGCCAATCGATAGACACGATGCCTTTAGCTATTTGCTAATCTGGGACTGTATAATAAATTGCTGCGCCAAGTCGCCAGTCGCATTGCGCTCTGTCTACACGAGCTGGCTGAACGAGAATCATTACGAGGAGGTAAAATTTTTACGACAATTACATTTTACTATCGATTTGGGCCTAACACACTATAAATTTTTGCACTATATAGAATTTTCTACATTTCCTGTTTCGTGCCATGCCAGTGGACATATTGAAGAATCATAGCGCCAAAGTACACAGCAATGGTGTTTTCAAAGAGTTAACTTGGATTGAGCTGCAGAGTAAGTAGTTGTCTCTCTCTCTCTCTCTCTCTCTCTCTCTCTCGTCTCAGCATTGATTTAATTTATGAGCGTCTCTTCCGAAGGTAAGTCATAACGGAAATCCTCGCCAAGGGTCTCATAATCCGTAATGCCCACATCTAGATCCTCCTGCATTTCATCGGCCTGCTCTTCCGACAGCGATATGTAATCCGTAACTGGCACGAATGTCTCGTCATTTTCACCGTGCATCGAACGTGCCACTGGTATTTGTTGTGGTGCCATGTATATGTTCAAGTTCGATATGAATTTGTTGATCCAAACGGTCAGATTGTTGGCCAAAATGCGTTGATAGTCGCGCAAGTTACTTGTGGTATAGAATTCTTGTTCTGCAACAAGTGGAACAATTGTATATATAGAGAGTAGACAGTAGAGTAAACATTCAATCTTGGAATAACTTTCGACTCACCAGTAAACTCCTTGATTCGCTCCAATATGACAGAGGACAGAGGCGATTGCTCATCGATGATGAACTGATCGTTCAGCAGGAAGTCCTTCATCTCTTCGAAGAGTACGCAAATAATTTTCATCATCTGCTTGCGTTGACGCTCAATGATGAGCTTCTTGAGTCCAGTGCAGCGCTGTTTGTGCTTCTTTCGGAGGGCACGACGCTGTCGTATCTCCTCCTCCAAGTACTCCATCGCCTTTTCCAGGGACATCGTCTCGACCGCTGGCTTCGGCTTCATTTGCTCTTGCAGCGCTGCCAAATGGCGTGGGGAGAGAATGTGCCTGAAATACTTGTAGGTGTCCCTGACTCGCAATGGATGCGGAATCGCCAAGCGTTCCATGCGAGCCGTACAGATGGGCACGTAGATCTTTTTGGTGATATAACGGGGCTGTCTCAGTCGCTGGGGCGAGAGGAAATTCTTCTTGGGTGTGGCCAAAAAGCACGTGTGCTCCTCACGCTTCAGCATATCACGGTCAATGATTATCTGGCCGGTGTGCTGGCAGGGCACATAGCACGGATGGTAGCGTGGGCAAACACAAAAGAACTTGTACATATGCTGCGGCGAGGGTATTTCCGTTTTCACCAGGCGCGGTATGCGCTTCGCCCGATCCGGTCGCAGCTGCACCATGGCCAGGCGAGCGTTCAGCTCATCAGCCACCGTAATGTCGTCGATCTTGGGCGGAACAATCGGCTGTGGTGGCAGATCGCTCAGCATCTTATTGAAGTTGACCGCTTCTGCCACGCTCTTCTCATTCTCTAGCCTTATTTCGCGAGCTGGCGCCTCGCTGGCGATTTCATAGAAGTTCAACGGTTTCTTTTCCATAATCAATATTATTAAATGAACAACACGACAAAAAAAATATATACATATATCACAAACGAAATATTTGGAATGAGTTTGACATGTGTTTGTGTGATGTGTGTGATGTGTGTGATGGTTTGCTGCTTGTAGTGGCCTGCTCTAACATTAATAAATATTATTTCTTGTACTCCAACAGATCCCCGCCTGTCAGTGGAACGATATGCCTGCCATCTGTATACGGAAGTGTTGCGCAAGTTGCCCGCCGTGGTGCGCAAATGGTGGAACACCAGCCAATCCAGACAGAAGAACTTTGTGGACAATCTAACATCGAACTATGTGAGCTCTCTGATCTGCACCGAGGAGCTGAAGGCAATCGTTAATCGCAAGGAAAAACACGAGAACATGCAGGTGGGCATTCGTTTCACCTGAACTCCTAATGTATGTGCTTCATTTAGACCTTCTCCTCGATGCTCATGCGCAACGCAAACACCACAATAATGCTGATGAGCAACAGAATAATGACTACGGCTCGAAAGATCTCTAGCGGCACCATTCTGTAGCTGCGATAGTTTGGCCGTGCTTCGTTTACGATCGGTGTATAGGATTCGTCCGGCACTAAAGGTCCAAGAGCAATGAGCACATTAATTCTCGAGCGAGTTGTTTTGATAGCGCTACGATCGTTTGTCATCTGTGGTCGTTCAATTGGTTGGGGTTTTGTTTTTGGGTGGAATTCGGCAGAATTTTATATTTTATATATGTAGATAGTAAACTTCACAGAGCTCTTTGATTATTATTATATTTCGTTCGTTTTCCTTTACAGGTCACTGTGCACACGTCCACTCGAGAGGTCTTGGCCGTCTATGCCATTGACGAGGCACGCATGGAGCTGGTCATTACGCTGGCGCCCAACTATCCGCTCGGCGCCGTTAAAGTCGAGTGCGGCAAGCAGATTGGTGGTCGGGCCAATTCACGCAATGTTGGCATGCAGCTGACCATCTTTTTGACGCATCAGGTGAGTGAGGAACTATAAGGAAATATAAGAATTACAAATTTTTAATATGGATTTCAATTGCTTTGTAGAATGGCACGATTAATGACGGTCTCACGATGTGGAAAAACAATTTGGATAAGAAATTCGAGGGCGTGGAGGAGTGTTATGTTTGCTATACGGTCATACACCAGGACACCTGCCAGCTGCCCAAATTGACGTGCAAGACATGCAAAAAGAAGTTTCACGGACCCTGTTTGGTGAGCTCAAAGAGCTTCTTCGCCCATTGCAATCCAATCTTTAATCCTTGCATTTCTCTTACAGTACAAATGGTTCACCACCAGCAGCAAATCCACCTGTCCAATTTGCCGTAACGTCTTCTAGAGCATCTGCTTCTCTGCTACACTTTTTGGCGACACGTATTAATCTAGGCACAAGAGAAACATTGCTGTTAGTCAGCTGTCAAATTTTTCGGGCTCTATCTGTAAATCAGTAACAATAAATTCGCAATAGTTTTAAATTACATAATTGTTATTATTATTATAAGTAAAGGTCGAGTAATATCAACATCTCATCAACCTAGTAGGCCATGCTGGCAACGAAACTGTTTGCCCACTGATGTAATAATTTTCTTATATTACTCTCGATATTTGACACGCTCAGACCTAAAAGCGACCGGAACAATTTTTCAAATCATAAAATTCGTGTGAATATTTTTTCTTTGTCTCTCTCATAAAAATGGCTAAGCAAATGAAGATAATCGGCAGTTGCCCGTTTTGTCAACGTGAGGTTGGCAGCGATATGCGTCCCATTAACCAACTGAATATGGAGCACATCAATATACTGGCCAACGAGCTCAAGGATCTTCAGCCAGCCGCATCGAATGAGTGCCAAAAAAGTCACCATAGCACGACTGCAACAATGGGTTCCAATACCGAATCGAATGAGGCCAAATCTGTATCACTTCTAACGGAAGCTATGCTGAACATGGTTAAGGAGGAGTTTGAGCGTCCTGCAGGCGCTGAGGTAAATTTCCAACAGATTTCATAGATTCTCTTTTATTTTGTGTGTGATTTTTGTTCAGCGTCAAATACCTGGGGATCATGCTGAGCTCATTCTGGCCATGCTCTCCGAGGAGCAGAATTCCTATGATAAATTTTTGCAGAATGAAAGCTCTAGGTCCGTTCCAAAGCGCTCCAGGAAGTAATAGTGCTAGCAAAGCAACTAAAATCCCCCCTCAACTCAATTCACAAAATTTACAGTCTGTGCTGATCCTCTTTCCATGTTGAATACCGCTGTTATTGTGAGACGCTGAGCCGTCATTAAATATAATTTTCATAGTCGTTTGATTAAATTGTATTTGTTTTTTTTTCTTTCCGCTAAATGTGGTTCCTTTTGCCTTTAGCATTTCCTTATCTATTAGTCTGATATAGCTCAAGGCATTCCAAAAGACCTAAATTCATTGAGAATGGGAAATCGGGGTATAATGTCTTCAGATTAATTTAGATTATCTTACCAAATATAAAAAAAATATGTACAAAATAAATGATAACAGTTTATGATTATTTCTAATAAGCGAATATAGAAGTCAGATGGAATGTATTTAAAACTATTTTTTGATCATACATTTATTATATGTGTTTATATCAACGATCTTTGAAAAGAAAAGCAAACGGTTGCTACAAAATAAGACGTCACAACAATATGTTTATTAAATGATATATATTTATTTTTAATATTTTTTTTTATGTTATAAAATACCAATGAGATAGTTGCTGATGATCACAACATACAAGTTTTTTTTTATTTATTTTTTTAATTTGTATTTTTAAAGGTAATTTTAAAAAAGAAATAAAAATTTTTAAAGGTAATTTTGAAAAATTAAAAAATTATGTATTCGATAGATATATTATTTTTAATTTATATATTTTTTGCTTATTTAATAAAAACCAATCAAATAATTTAATATATAATAAATATAAATATTTAAAAAATTTAATTATAATTCATTTTAATTTTCATTTTAATTGATAAAAATACCACTATATATTTTCAAATAAATATATTTAAATATAAGACTATGACTTTGCTAAGCTCAAGTTACCTAAATTCGAAATGTCAGCTCCCATCTGGAGCTGTTGCTCCAACAGCCGGAGCTCTCGTAGCCATCGCACCGTTTACTCGTTTCCAGCCACGTGCCGTATGCACACTGATTGAAGCAACCACCCGGAAAGTTCACGATTCTGCGCTGTGGCCGCAACGCCTTCGCTTGGCTCCCTTTTTGGGGTGGGGCAGACGAAATAACGAAATGACGAACGCATCAGTTTTGCAGTGCAGTTTGGTGAGGGTTTGTTAACTGGGATTAGGCACGCCATCGCTCGATATATAGCGGCGGGCCAATGCGTTAAGCCAAAATGACGTAAGCTCTCGCACGAATATGTCAACAGCTCAACCGAAACTTGGCCAGCGTGTACAAGTAGCGGGCAAGCATCAACTTAGCGGCCGTGTCGCCTATGTGGGGCGCACCACATTCGCTGGCGGCCAGTGGTTCGGTATTGTGCTGGACGAGCCGCGTGGCAAAAACAATGGCACTGTCCATGGCAGCACCTACTTCAAGTGTGCGCCCAACTGCGGCCTCTTTGTGCGTGCCCAGCAGCTGCAGCCGTTGCTAGGCTCGAGCCCCATGGACGAACTCAAGCGCAAACAGGACAATAATCGCACAACGGAGAGCATGCAACGTGAAACGAACAAACTGAAGCTGACCCACAGCAGGCAGCGCAGCAGGCAGACAGCAGCAGCAGCAGCAGCGGCAGCGGCAGAAGAACAGGTGAGTCACCCGAACAGCTGTGGGTGGAGTAGAGTGAAGTGGAGTGAGGTGGAGTGGAGTGTAGCTGAGCTATGTCATATATATGTACATATGGAATGCCATTGTTAATTAACTTATTTAATACTCTGCAGAGGGAGGCGAGCTCATCAGCCGAGCGCTTGAGCAGAAGGCCACCAGAGAATGCAACTTTTACCATGACTACTTCCAAGACTTGGATAACTTCCACACAGCTGCAACCACAAGCGCCACCAAAGGTAAGCAAGCTGATGGAACATTTGAGAAATGGAAATGTGAAAAGTAATAATAATAATAAATAATTATTAATTAAAGGAACCAGATCCAGAGCCAGAGCCAGCGCCTTTGGTGAAGCAGCAGAGGGCAATGCAGCCTGAGTCTATAACTTCCACACAGATCGTTCAGCAGCAGAAGGAAACACAGAGTAAATCAGCAGAGGCTCAGGCTCAGGCTCAAGCTAAGACTCCGGCTAAGGATCAGGCTCAGGCTAAATCTCAGGCTAGGGCTAAGGCTCAGGCTCAAGCCCAGCCCCAAGCTGAGGCTCAGACTCAGGCTCAAGCTCAGGGCGAGACTCAGTCCCAGGAACAAGCTGAGGATCAAGCTCAAGCTAAGAGTCAGGCAAGGGCTAACGCTCAGGCTCAGGCTAAGGCTCAGTCCCAGCAACAGGCGCAGGCTCAGTCCCTGCAACAGGCTCAGCTTCAAGCTCAGGCTAAATCCCAGGCTCAGGGCCAGCACCAAGCTGAGGCTCAAACCCAGTCACAAGTTCAGGCCCAGGCCCAGGCTGAGGCTCAGTCCCAGCTTCAGGATCAGTCCCAGTCCCAGTCCCAGCCACAGCAACAGCCCCAGCTACAGTCTCAGTCTCAGGCAGCTCGAGCCCAGTTCGAGCGGGCCGCTGTCCAGTCATCCGTATTGACGCCACCGGCCATGACCTGCAATCAGCGACGCTCCACATCCTATACACAGCTGCGGCCGACGCGCATCAGCCAGCCCAAGCCGACGACGGCACAGGCGCAGAGCACCACGGCGCAGCTGACGCTGGCCATGCCCGTGCCGCTGGCGCTGGCGCCCAAGCGCAGCAAGACGAGCATGAGCCCCACGAGCAGTGTGAAGCGGGTGGCGCCCGCTGCATTTGTGGAGGCTGGATTTCTGGAGATTTTGCGGCCGCAGTTTACGCCGGGTCCGGCGCTGCGCACGCCCAGCACTGTGGCGCCACCTATGGAGAGCGCCGAGCTGCGGCAGCTGCGCGAGGAGTTGCAGCTGCTGCGTGTGCAGCGGAGCGAGGACAAGCTGAAGCTGCTGGAGCTGGAGCGCATCAAGATCCACAACGAACAGCTGCTGGAGTTCAAGTCGCAGATCATGACGCAGCAGGTGCTGCTGCAGCGCGAGTTGCAGCGCTGCCGGCACGAGCAGCGCGAGTCGCTGGAGCTGACGGCCAAATACAAGCGGGAGCTGGACGACGTGGCCGAGAGTGTGGAGCTGCTGACACTGGACAAGGAAATGGCCGAGGAGCGTCTGGAGACGCTGCAAATGGAGCTGGAGACGCTGCAGGAGCGCAACGATGAGATCAGCCTGGATCTGGAAATACTGCGTGCCGAGCAGGAGCAGGACCACAACGAAGACCAATGCCTGGAGAAGACGGAGAAGCAATCGACGAACACGACGACGCTGCAGTCGACGGGCGAGTTCCTGCGCCTCGAGCAATATAACCAGCGACTGCGAGAGACGGTGGTCCGACTGCGAGACACCCTGGCCCATGAGAAGCAGCTGGCGCAGCGCACACACAAGGAGCTGGAGACGAAACACTCGGAAATCAACGAGCTGAAGAGCATCAAAGAGCTGCAGAGCCGACGCGTCGATCAAATGGAAATGCAGCTGATGGACCTGAAGGAGCAGGTGGATGCTTCACTGGGCGCTGAGTCCATGGTCACGCAGCTGGCCACGCTCAAGCTGGAGCTGGAGGAGCGTGTGAAGCTGCTGGAAGATGAGGTCTCCGAGCTGGAGGCGCTGGAACAAATACAGGAGCAGCTCATAGAGAGCAACCAGGAGCTGGAATCGGATCTGCGGGACGAAATTGACAAGCTCAACGGCCAGGTGAAGTCGCTGGAGCAGCAGAAGAACGCCGCTGTGGAAAGCCTCTATGATCGTGATGTGACCATATTGAAGTTTAGAGATCTGGTGCGTCAGCTCCAGGAGCAGCTGCAGCTGAAATCAGACGGCGGCAATCTCTCCATCGAGGACTTCAGCAGCGCCAATGAATCGCAGCAGGAGGAGACCTCCCAGCAGAGCCTGGCCGACTACCAGCACATCTTCAGCGTGAGCAAGGCCTATGGACGGGCATTGGAGCAGCAGCTCAAGGCTGTCGAGCTGCGACTCGAGCGCCAGCATCTGGAGCACGTGCTGGCCTTTGTGCCCGAACAGTTTCTCCTGCGCGGCGGTGAGCACGACGTGGTGCTGGTCATGCTGCTGCTGGAGCGCATGAACGACAAGCTGGAAATCGTTTGCCAGGCCATCAATGAGAAGTTTCCGAATGCCTGCGAGTTCGGTAAGTTAAAGCAGGGATAACTAATTGGAGCGCGAATTGCTAATAAGAATACAGGGAAGCGACGAGATACTATTATGATTGTATTCTAATTAGCTCCATTGCCAATTGGAATATATATTTTAAAAATATATAAAAAGATAAATATATTAAAATATATTTCAGTAATATATTCTTTATTTTGAACAATTATTTATTATTAATTATTTTTGATTTTTCTATCCTAATCATATTGATTCTATTATAATTATATTGTATTATACGAAGACCTTTACAAACTGATTTTATTTTATTCTTTTTAGTTATATGTTTCCAATTGGAATATATGTGAAACCTAATGCATTAATTATGGAACTTTATGAATTAATTTTCTTTAGTTTAATTGTAATTGTAAATTGTAATTCTGCTTGGTATAATCAATTTATTTGACAATAGGAATTTATATTGAATTTTAAAAAATTAATGTTAGCTTATTTTTATTAGTTCTTATGTATAATTGAAAAATTAATTTCAGTAAAAGCTAATTAGATTCTTTTCCATTGGCCATATTAATAGACTTTTAAGTAATTTAAAAAAAAAAAACTTTTAGCCATTGATTTTTATGATTTATTTAATTACTTTATATATTATATACAAACTTGATCAAGCTTCTATTTTAGTATTTTAGTTAATAGTTAGTTAGTTGACATCTCTTTTCCCTTTCACAATTCCCTCTATCAGGTCGCGATGCCATCTTTGAGGGCTACTCCGTGCAGCGTTACATCTTCCGGGCGCAGTGCATCTACTTGCTGAAGAGCCTGCAGCTCGTGCTGCAGCAGTTCCGCTACGGGCTCAACCACTGCGACTACGAGCTGTGCACGCACGCGGCCATCTATCGCATGGATCTGGAGGCGCAGGAGCAGCAGCTGGATGAGTTTGTGCGGCTGCTGAAGACGGGTCAGCTGGACGAGCATACGAATTGTGAGCCCATACGCCGAGTGCTGCACTACATCAATGGGCTGCACCAGAATCTGATGCCGCCGCAGACGCTGGTGGATCTGCTGGACGAGCAGCAGCTGTATGGCGCCCTGATTGAGGTGTACGAGGCGGGCATGGATTCGGTGAATGCGAATGCGGGCATGCTGCACACCATTATACAGCTGGGCGATGAGCAGACCGCCTCCTTCCACTGCATGCAGCTGCTCATGGAGCACAGCTGCGCGGCCAAGCAGAAGCTGAAGAAGCTGCAGCGCAAGCTGAGCTCCAATAAGACCGCCGCCGCCTGGACGGGCATGCAGTGTGCCCGGTACCAGCGCATACTGGAGGCCAACGAGGCCCTGGGCGCGCTCATCAGCATGCTGGGCGTGTCCGCTCGAGAGGCGACCAAGGAGTCCAATGGGGGCATAGCGCACGAGAAGCTCTGGCGCATATTGAGCCTGAACTACAGCAAATATGCACCTGCGCAGGAGACGGAGCAGCGGGAACTGGACGCGTACAGCCAGCGATGCATGCAGCTGCTGGAGGAGCAGCTCGAGGAGCTCTGCGCCCTGCTGGAGCCCCGCGATGTGAACACTGAGTATGTGCGCCACTCCAGCTCCAATACGCTGCAGCAGCGCGCCGCCCAAATTAGGCGGCACTACGAGGACGTCAAGAGCCTGGAGCTGTCTGTGGCCGAGCGGGACAAGGAGCTGAAGGCACTGAAGTACTCGGCCAAGCTGAAGCAACAGGATTACTCGGAGCTGCAGGTGCGCAAGGAGATGGCCGAGAAGCAGGTGCATCGCTTTAGCCACGACTATTGTCAGACGCTCACCCAGATGGCCGAGGGCCTGGAGCAGCTGGAGCAGGCCATGCTCTCCAAGGAGGCGGCCATGCAGCACGCCCTGAACACACTCAACGACAAGCTGACCGCCCTGGAGCTGGCCCAGCAGTATTGCCAGCAGCAGCAGCAGGTGGACAGCGCCTGTGTGAGCAGCTCGACGCGCATTTGCAACCGGGAGCTGAACATGATGCATCAAGCGCTGCGCCAGGAGCGCGCCCTGCGTGTCCAGCTGCAGGACAATGCGCTCTGCAGGAGCTTTGCTGCCCTGGAGCCGTTGCATGTGCCGCAGCTGGAGCAGAACGGCGAGCTGGCCCGCCTGGAGGCACAGCTGCGCCGCTTGAAGAACCAGTGGCTGCTCGCCCACCTCGACCTGGGCCCCGCTGGCCACGAGCGTCGCTCCCAAATCAAGCTCCAGGCCAGTCGACTGCTGCGACATATCTTCCAAGCCTATTGCACACAGAATCCACATCGAGCGGCGCCCACGGATTTTGGCTTATTCATCAGCGACGATCTGAGGCGCGTCCTATAGGCCAACTTATATATATACACATACTTATAGTATTAGACTTCAATTGTATTACGGCGAAAATAATAGTACATTATTGTGATTTGCTGCTTAAACCTATTAACAGTTATAGAGTTCGTTTTGTTTGTTAATCGAAAGCTAATTAAATTTGCAGTATATAGCGAAAATATTGAACAATTAACAATCGAGTTTTGTTGCTCTCGAGAAGAAATAAAATCTCAAATATAACTGATGGGTCAATGCATTATTTGGATAAATTTATATCCAACTAGTCTTTCTGATGAAAATGTGAGTTATGTTATATATATAAATTATATACATAAATATATATATTTAAAAAAAATTTAATTTTTTGTTGTGATAAATTACAGAATTTTTTGTTTACACTGACTGTTTAATAATTATATTATTTAAGTTGATTAGAAAATTTATAATTTATTAATTTTAATTAATTAATTTTTTTTTTTTAATTTATTTATATAAAATTTGTTTATACTTTTTTAACTTCTTTAACGGCCTTTTATCTTAATGTCATAATTTTTAATTTAATATCATAATTTTGAAAAAAAGCCAAATTTGACGGATTTTTCGAATTGTAAAAATTGATATTAATGATATAAAATAACAAAATTAAATATTTTTTGAACCAGGTTATTTTTCAGAATTTATTAGGGTATAATTTTAAGAATTGAGCATTTTGAATTTACTGCATGATTAATTTAATTCAATAAAGTTTTCTTTTGGAATTTTATAAATCTAAGAGATATGGTCAAAATTATTTGAATTTTCGGTAATAAAGCCAGTATTGTTAATTTGTGTTATAAATTTATTTTTAATGAAATATATTTATTATTAATTGTTTAGCAATTGTTGAATTTTTATTTAGACATGCAAAATTAATTTTTCGGCATTTTTGATATATTTAAAACAAATATAAATCTCAAATATGTAAAATATTTTTTAAATTCTGAGAGCAAAATATTAGTAAAATAAGGTTTTATTCCCTAAAATAATATAATATATATAAAAACATATGTGTATTTAATATATTGATATAGGTTTATTTTTTATTTATGAAATCAACAAAATCTACAAATAATTCCAATGTCGAGCGCTCTCGACTGTAGCGTTCTTAAGTGCTGTTTATTCAGTTTACAATTTACAATATACAATTTACACAATATATATACACGTATAAACATATGTGTGTGTGTGCATGGATGTGTGCGTGTGTAGACATCCATGAGAACGCGCAGTTCAATGAGAAGAAGAGAGCAGTTCAAGCACTCCAAGTGGAAACGCTTATCACATGAGCAAGAAAGAGATAGGTAGAAGGAATGAGCAACTATAACGGTTATGTGGTGGTGCAAGATGGCAGCTCTCTGCTATGTTTTTTGCTAGTTGCATTTTGTTGATGTTGTTGTTGTGGTTCTTGTTGTCGTAGTAGTAGTAGTAGTTGTTGTTGTTGTTGTTGTGGGATTTACATAAATACGTTTAATGTTTAATGAGAAGAAAATTGAATCGTTGGCTATTTACAGTTGTGCTGGCGAACAAAAAAAGTCACTGATGCATCTTGAGAGGCGCTATCGAAATGTAATTGAATAAATCTCGATAGTGATGTGCGCATTTATCGATAGTTTGGCAATCGAGCTTACCTCACGACTTGGGCGCCGCCTGACGCTTGGCCACAATTTTGCCCTGATCGCGACTGTTGATGACCTCGGCATGGAAGCCTGTCTCCCAATCGGCATAGTACTTGACGGTGCGCACATTGCCATCGGGCTCGACCAGGGAGTACTCGCCCTTGACCACATCGCCGTCGCGCTCCTCGCGCTGATGCTTGTTGTCGCCAGTGTGAGGATCATTTACCGCATACTCAAAGGCGTAACGTGGATGCGCATCCTGTGAAGCAGTCAATATATATAATGGGCCAATGGCCAAGCTCTGTCTGACTTACAAAATGCTCGAGATGCTTCTCGGGCAGAACCTTTAGCAGCGCCGGCTGGGCCACTGGGGCGGTCTTCAGGTAAGCAGCGGGCGTAAGAGGAGCCTGAGCACTCAGCGCCGAGACGCTGGGCGCATAGCGATTGAAGCCGGCGCCAAAGGCCCCAATGCCATGGCCCAGACTGTAGTCGGCCAGTGGTGCGCCCAGCTGCGCCAATCCAGCACCATGCGACAGAGCGCCCTGGTAGGTGAGTGCGGGCGAGACGGCAGCATGACCAAGCGAAATGGCGCCGTAGTAGCCGCCAGTCGAGCCCAAACCCAATTTACCTGAATAAAGAGAGAGATAGAGAGAGTATAGAGATTTCACTCAATCGCCTCTAATCTCCCTTGGCTCACCCGCATTGAGTCCATAGGCTGTGCTGCTGATATAGCCTTGGCCAAGTGCTGGTCCCGTTGTCAGCTTGCCCAGTGGAGCTGTTAGCAGTCCAGGCTTGGACACATATTGCGTGGCGATGGCGCCATGGCCAGAGGTCGAGTAGCCCTGGCCCAGACCCAGACCCAGGCCCAAGCCCAAGCCCAATCCCAATTTGGATGAGGAGTAGCCTTGACCAACTGCTATCGCTGGCTTGGATGCGTACTGCGTGCTGGCATATCCAGTGCCAATGGTCGAGACTAAGCCTGGTGCTCCATAGGCCAACTTGGCAGGAGCAGCTCCAATGGTCGCAATCGCCGGCTTCGACACATATTGATGGGAGACGGCACCGGATCCGCCATAGCTAGTGGATACTTTTGTGAGAGCTGGAGCAGCGGCATAGCTGCTGATGGCTGGCGCAGCCGGCAAGTAGGTCTTGGAGAGCGTCGCTCCATAGCTGGCGACAGCAGGAGCTCCATAGCTGACAGTCTTGGTGAGAGCGGGAGCAGCTGCATAGGTAGCCACAGCGGGCTTGGACACATATTGGTGGGAGACGGCGCCATGACCAGAACTGCCATAGCTGGTGGCCAGCTTGGTGATGGCTGGAGCTGCGGAGTAGGTGGATATGGATGCAGGTGCATAGCTGGCAACCTTTGAGATGGCAGGACCCGTTGAGTAAGTGGCCACAGCTGGTGCATAGCTGGCGACCTTAGCTATGGCTGGAGCAGCAGAGATAGCCACCGCAGGCTTGGAGACATATTGATGGGACACAGCGCCGATTCCCGAGCCGCCATAGCTGCTGGACACCTTGGTGATGGCGGGGCCAGCAGAATAGGTGGCCACAGCTGGGGCTGCATAGGATGCCACCTTGGCAATGGCTGGAGCAGCAGCGGGATAAGCAGCAACTATGGGCTTGGAGATGTACTGATGGGAGACGTCGGCTGCCTGGCTGTAGGTCGCCACCTTGGCAACTGAGGGAGCTGCCGAGGCGATGGCTGGAGCAGCATAGCTGACAGTCTTGGCGAGAGCAGGAGCTGCTGCATAGGTAGCCACAGCGGGCTTGGACACATATTGGTGGGAGACAGCGCCATGACCAGAGCTACCATAGCTGGTTGCCAGCTTGGTGATGGTTGGAGCAGCGGAATAGGTGGCTACGGCAGGCGCTGCGTAGGTAGCGACTTTGGCAATCGCTGGAGCAGCAGCATACACTGTGGATGGCCTGGAAATGTACTGATGGGAGACATCAGCTGCCTGGCTGTAGGTCGCCACCTTGGCAAGGGAAGGTGCTGAGGAGTAGGTGGAGATAGACGGAGCAGCATAGCTGACAGTCTTGGCGAGAGCAGGGGCTGCAGCATAGGTAGCCACGGCGGGCTTGGACACATATTGGTGGGAGACAGCGCCATGGCCAGAGCTGCCATAGCTGGTGGCTACTTTTGTAATAGCCGGAGCAGCGGAGTAGGTGGATATGGATGCAGGTGCATAGCTGGCAACCTTTGAGATTGCCGGACCGGTGGAATAGGTGGCCACAGCTGGAGCGGCATAGGATGCCACCTTGGCAATCGCCGGAGCAGCAGAGATTGTGGCCAGCGCAGGCTTGGACACGTACTGATGGGAGACAGCGCCATGTCCACTGCTGGCGTAGCTGACGGCAGGAGCGGTATAGCCCACCTTGGCCACAGCTGGAGCGGCTGCCGGATAGGCAGCGACAATGGGCTTGGAAATGTACTGATGGGAGACATCGGCAGCTTGGCTGTAGGTCGCCACTTTAGCTATCGAAGGAGCTGAGGAGTAGGTGGAGATAGACGGAGCAGCATAGCTGGATATCTTAGTGACGGCAGGAGCAGCATAGCTGACAGTCTTGGTGACAGCAGGAGCAGCTGCATAGGTAGCCACGGCGGGCTTGGAGACGTACTGATGGGAGATGGCGCCTGAGCCACTGGCACCATAGCTGGTGCTCAGCTTGCTAAGGGGAGCCGATGCATAGGTGGACAGGGCAGGAGCGCTGTAGGTGGCCACCTTGGCAGGTGACGAAACATATTGGGTGGCAATGGCGGGCGCTGCGGGCAAATAGGTCTTGGCCAGAGCGGGTGCATAGTTGGCCGAGTAGCCAGAGCCGAGCGAGGAGAACAGCGACGAAGTGGTGGCCAGCTTGAGGGCAGGCGCAGGCGCAGCATAGGAAATGGAAGGCGAATAGGTGGCTATCTTGGCAACACCTGGCGATGCCTGGGAGTAGCTGTAGCCGGGTGAGCTGTAGGTCTCCACCTTGGAGAAGCCAGGCGTGGCCTTGGAGTAGGTGTAGCCAGGGGAGGTATAGGTCTCCACCTTGGTGGTCACGGACGGGGCATAGTATGCTCCACTGGAGGGCGAGGGCGATGTGTAGGTAGCCGACTTGGAAATGCCCGGAGTGGACTGACTGTAGGTGTAGCCGGGCGAGGAGTAGGTGGACACCTTGGTCAAGGCTGGCGAAACCAAGCTCTTCAGCTCAATGCCGGAGGGCACCACAGTGGCGTACTTGGCAGCCGGCGACTTATCGGCATAGGTTATTCCGGGACCACCGTATTCCGCCGAGGGAGTGAACAGCGTCTTCTGTACGGGTGCCACATACTTGTTGATCTGCGTGAGACCGCCCTGCGAGTAGCCCGAGAGTCCTGCGGTGGTCTCATACGAAGCCAGGCCGCTGCTCACAGACGATTGCAGCAGTTTCCCATTCTCGGAGTAGCTGGAAATGGCGGGCGTTTGGCTGTACTTGGTGACGCCGGGCGTTATGGAGAACTTGACCTCAGCTGGCGGCGCATACGAGTAGCCAACTGCACCACCTGCATGGATGCAGGGCGCGATTGTGGGCGAGGGTTCTGCCAGTGCTGAGCCGAGCAGCACGCACAGCAGCGCTAGGAGTCGAAGCTGTGAACGAGGAGAGGAAACAGATTTATATAGAGCGAATTTATAGATGAAAGAGACGGAGGCTAAGCAGAGGTATATCAAAACTTTTAATTAAAGGTTTTTTTTTTCCAAATTTTTAGCTAAAGCTAGAGCTATATAAAGTTGATTGAATTTTATCTTAACTCTACTTTGATTTTGTTGTACATATAACGAATTGGTTCGGTTTCTTTAGTTTCTCTTAAAAAATGAAATCAATTTTGGTTCGAATTCAAAAGTTTTTTATACTGTCTTGCCAGTTAATTATTATAATTTAAGAATGTGTTACAAGAAAATTAAGTAAAATAAGTTTAAAATTTAAATACTATTTACGGCCGTTAAAAATTTTAACAAAATTTTAAATCGATTTTGTTATATTTTTAACTTCTAAATTATGAAATTTACTACATCTAAATATTTATTAAATTGAAATGAAATTTAAAAGAAAATAAAAATAAAAATAAATAAATTAATAAAATATTATAACAAAATTAAAAACAACAAAATAAAATAAATAAAGAAGAAAATAAAGAAAAGACAAAATAAAAAACCAGTTAAATAAAAGCTTAAGCAAAACCCAAATAAATTAAACAATCTAAGCAACTATGACATTACCTAAAAAAAAAAAAACAATAAAACAAATAAAACATACAAATCCTCATTAAGTAATTACTGAAAACACAATTAAAAAAATATAAATAAAACCAAACAATGTTCAATTCTAATATGTTAAAAGACTTAAATTTTGGAAAAAGGAACTGTAACGAAATATATTTTTAATATTAAAAAAAAAAAAAAAAAAAAAACAACATTCAATTCATATCAAGATCCTGAGCACATTTAATGTAAGATAATAAATATTTAGGTTTTAAGTAATCCTTTTTGGAAAATCGCTTGTGATTTGTGAAATTCTGTTATCCAGCCAATTTTAAGCAACTATTTAATATACATAAGCACAATTCAATTAGCGCATTGATTATTAATTTTGAATGAAAACCAATCCTAGTCTTGCACTCTTAACGAGGACACTCCTTGATCTTTAGAAAATAACATATAAAGTCCATATATTCCAGCATATTCCAGAGTCTTATTTTATTTTTAATTTTTTATTTTTATTTTTTTCTTTTAGTTGTAGTCCTTTTGCTGTTGGCGACCCACCTTCATAGTTTCACTTGTGTTGCACTTATGAAAACGTTCTGATATAGTTGAGCGCACTATATTAACTGTGTTTTTACAATAGTTCACAAATTGGTTCGATCGAATCGTAATCCTTGTGGCAATGCAACGGTAGTTCACGATGAATGTCCTTCGTGGATGCGTATACTTAATATCGTATCGATACGTATTCGAAATATCGGCACACGGCACACGCAACGCACGCTCGATGTAGAGCAACGCGGCTGACTGTTGGCCAGCCCGGCCCTATAATCGCTTATATACGTTCGGTCAGTTTTGGCTCACACGCATGCGCAGCAGCCACGCACCAGTTTAGCGACAGAAAAATCAAAAGCAACACATACAACAACAACAAAAGCAGCTTGGAAAAACGAGTAGAAAATCAGCAGCAAAAATATTGCAGTTAGGAAAAGCAAAGTCGAAGTCAAGTCAGAGACTGCAACGGGCTGACTGCCTGAAGAAAAATTGATGACTGCTCGACTGCGCTGCTGGCAGTTCGCAGTTCGTAGTTGGCAGTTCTCTTTGTTATGGAGTTCTCTCGCAGCAACCTGCAATGTCTATTGGTTGTTGGCCCCACCTTCGCGCCGATCTGGGGCTCTGGCATTTTATTAGATCATAGCAAAACGCCTCGGCTTCAAAAAGTGTGCGTGGTGCGTTTTATGCCCAGTTCTCTTGATTGCTGCTGCTGCGCCTGTTGCTGCTGCTGCATTGTTGGCCAAGTTGATTTCTTTTTCTTATTTTTCTTTATTTTATTTTATTTTTTTTTGCATATGCTTTTAAAGCGACTTAATTTGATTTAGATTTTAATCGCGACCATTGCGTGTAGCTGCAGCAAAAATGCAGTCAACTTTAAAATTCATACGCAATTTGCTCGGCAAGCAGAAAAAAAATCAGTAAAAATAAAAATAAAAGAAAATTTGCAATTTTGTGGTATTAATGTCGCTATCAATAAATTTTGTCTCTGTCTCTGCGTGCCTGGGGCCTTGATTGTGCATTAGTTAGATAAACGGCCATATGTGTGCGTACACACACACGCACACATATGCTGTCATGTATATGTTACTAATAGAATAGCTAGCGATATGACCAAGTGTTGACTTGTTGGCAATTAAGGTCACTTTTGTGACTTTTGTCACTTTGCCGCGTTTTAAAACGCGCACAAAACGCGCGCGGGTGTGTTCGCTAACTGCTGTCCATAACAGTTTTCTATTGTCCTGAAATGAGTTGTGAACCTATTAAATGTTGAATAACTGGATGCAAATTTATTAATTTTATCACAATAAAAAATTATTAAAAATTAAAAATAATTTGAAAATCAAATTAATAAATACCAAATTGATTTATTGATGTATTTGTAAGGCTTATATTTAAGAGTAAAATATAACAATGATATATTATTCAGTTTTCTATATAATATAATATTTTTTTCTTTAAAAATAAGAGAAATTTTTTTTAAATTTCCATTTATTATATTACGGCACAATTTTATTCAATTAACATAATAATCGGAAAAAAAATATATATATATATAAAAATATATATATAATATATAATAAATATATATATAAATATAACATTTAAAAAGAAATAAATTAAGAATTAAATAATACAAATTTTAAATTAATTAAATATCAGTCTATTCTACGGGAATTTGATTAGCTCTTTAGCTTTAACCTAATTTAAATTTAATTAGAATTTCATAAATTCAAATATCTATAAAATGGACATTTTTATTAAATTCGCAGGAGTCGTCACCAATCAGTAAAAATAAAATAATAATAATAAAATAAAAATAAAAATTTTAGCCAATCCTATATTTCGACAAATTGATTATATAATTAAATATATAAAATAAAAGCCCACTCAAATTTCAGGATATAAAAGCTGTCAATTGTTGGCCAGACATGGCCAATTTCGGTGGTTAGCATAAATAAATAAATGCAAATACCTATCAAATATAGTTTTTAATTAGCTGTCTAGGAGTCGCCATAGCACATGCCACATTTCAGTCAGAGCTGCCACAGGTTTGTCCCTGACTTGCGGCTGACACCGCATGCAACGTGCAAATCAATTAAAAGCGCTCACCAATATTGTGAATCGATATGTGAAATCTTGGCGATCTAGGCAAACCGACGGCTGACCATAAGCAGAGCTGGAAAATTGATTGAGCAGCACACGCGTTGACATTTCAATTAGAAGTCCATGCGGACCAGACCACTGCAGACCAGATCAGAGCAGACCAGATCAGAGCAGAGTAGAGCTGGCCAGACCAGACACCAGATCGGGCCAGACCAGAAGGTATGCTGATGCCAGTTGGCCGGCAGGCGATAAACCTTATGGACCAATTAAGTATTTCGTGTCATGATGTGATTTTTTATCGCACCAAAATGGAGAATAATACGCATACGCAGCGTGTACCGAGTGAAAGGCTGTCGTTGGTATTGGGCTGTGTTTTTCTATTTTTCTGCTTTATTTGTATTTTTTGGGCCTGTTAATTGAACATGAAACATGTTTCAGGCTCTGGCTGCTTGCTTCAGTCTTGAGTCTATCTGTCTGACCGTTTGGCGTTTTCTTTTTATATATATATAGGTATATTTTTATTTGATTTGATTTTTTTTTTTTTGATTTTTTGATTTTCGGGCTTTCGCAATTTGATTGAATTTTAATTTTTGCATTTGCAAACCAATACGCAAAGTCCGAGACTACAAACTGCAATACTCCAACGGCTAGTCAGCTGCAATTTTAACCTACTTCGGCTGAGACTGGTCGAGTTTTAGTTCGTCGCGCATTTGTCACACACACGCACCGGGCTCTGGCCGCGGGGCGTTACGTAATTGCCAACGGGCAGGCACTTGGCTAACACAGCTGGCCATGGCTAACGCATACTACGAGCGATGCCTACTTAACATCATGACGAAATCCGCTTGACAACCAACAGCCAACGAATACAGCTCCTGCCGCTGTGGCTGCTACTGCTGTTGCTCCTCCTTCACAAGTCAAATGCACCACCCACCGCCCCGCCGGCAGCACTCGACGCTGCTGTTCCACCCGCTGCACAGCATCAGGGTATTTTAATTGAAAAATCTAGATTTCACTTAAATATTTTCACGTCGCCTATTTTTGCATGCAGCCACATGAGCTCAACTTTGTAGCGACCTGTGGTCATGTGTGTGTGTGTGTGTGTGTGCGTGTGTGTATTTGTCTATCTAGATTGTTTGTCGCTCATTGAAAATCGAAATGCATGTTGTACATGCCGCGTGCGTAAACATTTCAAAATTTGCCAACACATATTCATAAATTTAGCGATTTAATACCGCTTGCCAATTTGCGCAATTGACGATCTCGAATCTGAAATCTCGAATCTCTGAATACACTCAATACCCAAATCTTGAATCTAATTCTACACGCATCGAAAAACTGAACCAGTTTATGTTTTGATTTTTTATTTTGTATTCATGCATTTTCAAAAGTGCAAAAACGCAATAAAAAATGCTGAAAGGCCGAACGGGTTGGGTATCTAACACTCGCTAAGTGTGTTTCTCTCTCTCTCTGTGTGTGGGGCGTACAACACTGCGTATGCGTGTTATTTTGTTGGCACTCTAATAGCCACAGGATTGCCTGCCTGCCTGCCTGCCTGCCTACCTGCTGCTTACAATAATAGCCTAAGGTAGCAGCTTACGCTCAGCGCTTGAGCACCTTGGGCTTGGGCAAACGCTTAGCCAACACGTTTTTCACGCTGAGACACATTTTCGCCTCTAACGCATATGAAACAAGCTAACTGCAATTGTTTAGCTGCTGTCGTGTTTTAAGGCGCTTTATTGCAGCACAGATGAAAGTATGGGGAATTTTATTGCATAACACTGAAGTAGGTCAAAAAAATGAAAGGAATTATTTACTTTTTGATTTACTATGTTTATGATATTTAATTCACTTTTTGAATGCCACGTATGTATATATACTCGTCTCCAAATTTAATTTAAATTTGTTTAAATACACCTACACATTAAAACAAAATTTCATATCATTATAAGTAGTATTTGATATATATTTAAATAATCCAATAATTAATTGCATTTACACAAACGGCAAAAATAATTCAATTTGTTATGGAAATATATATGCAAAAAAAAAAAAAAAAAAAAAGCAAGCCAATTCGATATGGTTTTTTTTTTTTGCATATTTGTTTTGATAATGGATTAGCTAATTTTTTTTTTTTAGTATTATATTATTAACTTACTAATATTATATATTATTTTTTTTTTTAATTTTTAAGTTTATTTTATTAATACTATATATATTATATTATTTCATTATTATTTATTATCATGTAATTTTTTTTTAAAATATTATATTATTCATTTATTAATCATTTATATTATATATTTTATTTTGTTTTTCTTTAATTTATTTTTGTTATATATTATATAATTTTTTAAAATTATTATTATATATATATATATATATATATATATATATATATATATATATATATATATATATATATATATATATATATATATTTTTTTTTTTTTTATATATATATTAATAATTCTTTACCTTCCTTCCTTTCTATTCCTTCCTTTTTATTCCACTCTGCTTTTAAGCTTCATCATTTACACTTAATACAGCTTTGCATATGTAAACAGGCCCAGACAGCTATTCTTAATCTTAGCCTAACTGACTCATTGAGTCTCGCTAGTTTGCATATATAGCTCTGGCATAAATATTCTTGGCTCCCTCGTCTATCAATGCATGTAATTCATTTGTAAAGAACTCCCACTGGCAACTCTAAGCATATGCGCTTTACAGATGCTCCCCATTCTCCCCTCTGCCGTTGCTGTTGTGCAACTGCAACTGTCATGAAATCAGCATTTGTAAACAATAAAGCACAAATTGTGGGTAGGCAGGAAATTGCTAACAAGCAAAGCAACAATCAAATATGATTTCTGTTATTCTGTTTTTCTTTGGATCTCTGTCTCGCTGGCTGTCGCCTTGCCCAACCTCCAGCAGTCAAGTGAGTAGCTGGAATTGTGATTATGCCATAGACACACAAACACACATAGCATATTTACGATTTACGATATGCGATTTACTTGGACAACCATAAATTAACACCCGGTCATTTGGCAGGCGGGGGCATTAATTATTCGAAGCCGCCAAAATCCGTGCGATCTCTGCGTGTGTCTCTCTCTGTGTGTGTGTGTGTGTAATGGAATTTTTGAAATTGTCTCACATTTGTTTTACCAGCTAATTGCTTCGACGGAGCTGACATTCTCTTGGCTCTCGACTGCAATCTCCAGATCCTTAATAGGCGTGCGTGTCGCTCAGCTCTTCTAGCTGCGGCAAACCGGATCTAAGCCTCTCAAGAGTCTAACTCTGAGTCTGAGTCTGAGTCATAGCTCTAGAGTCGTTCAATGTCGCCGCGTCGCTGTCAGGCGGCGCCAAATCTAGCTAACAAAATTGTAAATTATTTAATTGGGAGCGTTGAGGCAACGCCTCTGCAGCTAGCAGGTAACCAAAGCTGCGATCGATCTCCCTCTCTGTCTATCTCTTTCTCTCAGAATTTAGAATTCAGAATTCAGAATTTGTTGCATTCGCTTGACTTTTAGACATTTCTCACGCGAGCTAAGTGATTTTGTGATTCTATTTTTTTACACTTTGCCACACACAATTTGCACATCAACTTTTTCGCTCGCTTTATTGATTAACTGGTTGACTCCGAAAACGGCTTAGCTCAGAGTGCAGTTCTCAGCTTGGCGGGGCTCGATGTGGGAGCCATTTGCATATATGATTTTGTTTTATTTTATTTTTTTTTTAATGCAATCGAGATAGAAAAGTATAACGTGGATGGCATTTGACATGTTTTACATACTCGCAACTCAATGTATATATGTATGTGTGTGTGTGTGTGTGTGTAGTATATGTATCGGCTACTAGATCTCTTACAAATTGAACGCACTTTAGCCCAGTCGAGCCAATGCCACAGTTGCGTTGACAAAAAAGTACTTTTAATTAGAATAGCTGGTACGTACTTGTACGACCATGCATTCGCTTCAGTAAGTATGCGTCTGTGTGTGTGTGTGAGTCAAACTCGTTATCCGAGATTAAGTTAATTGGATTAGCCAGCAGTTAGCTGCATAGAAGCCATCGCAGGTGGGCAGGGTGCAAATGCAGCCGCAGCAACAGCAGCAGCAGCAGCAGCAGTTCGCATTCAAATGCTGCCTAATTTGTGTTAATTATGACAAATGTTTATGAAACTGCACCAAAACTGTGGCAAATATACATATACTAGCGTATGGGTGTGTGCGAGGGTCGCCTTTGCACTTTAGTATTCCACGCAAGGCAAGTCCCAAGGTTATGGCTCTCAATTGGCATGGCTTTATTAGCAGTTCTTGGCGCAAATCGAATCATTTAATAATATAATAATATAATTTAGTTTATTGGAATTGAAATTATAGAAATTATAGAAATGTATTAATTTATAGAAATTAAATTTCTTTAATTTTAATTTATACAAACTTAACTTTTATTCATAATTCATTTCATTTATATAATTTATTGAAATTTAATTTATAGATAATAAAAAAAAAAGAAAAAAAAAAACAAAAAAGAATATATAGAGATTTATTTAATTACGATTTAATTTATTTGAATTTAATTTCTTGAATTTTTATTTATACAATTTTAGTTTATGGAAATTCAATTTAAACAAATTTAATATATTGAAATCTACTTTAAAAATGGGTGTTTAAAGAAATTTAATTTTTTTAAAAATTTATTTAATAAAAAAATATGGTTTATTTTATATTTTTATATATTTTTGAAGTTGGATTTAAAGAAATTCAATTTATATAATTTGTTCATAGATATTTTATTTAGAGAAATTTAATGTATAAAAGTTTCATTAACAAACCTTTAATTAATAGAAAAATTAATTTATTTAAAACACGTCAACTAAACATACAGCAATAAATTACGCATAAATAATAATATCAAGTTAACGAACATAAAGGAAACAGTTCACAAAAAATCACCCCAACTATTGCATTGCCCGCTTTCCTCACACGCCCTCCAGATTTCTATAGCTGAACTGATGACCTCTGGCATACATGGGCACCATGTGCTGCTTGTCCCGGCGCACCATGGACTGCACTAGGCTGGCCGAGGCGGCGCCCTGTTCGTCCTCGTCCGAGAGCTCTTCGAAGTCGTCGTCTTCCGCGTGGTGTGGGAAGAGCACAGGGCCGGAGCCTTCTGGACGTGGAGCCCGTTGGATGTGCGCCAGTGGCTTGCCGTGCAGCTTCTTGGGCTTGCGCTGGAAGTAGCTGGAGTATTCGGGACGGGCGAAGCTCTTCGGCACGGCCTTGTACTTGTAGTGCTTGAGGCCGGGCGTGGTGTGCACGATCTTCTTCTGGTGAATGTGATTGGAGATGGGCTCGGGGTTCTTGATGGGTCGCGGCTTGGACTGTGTGTAGCTGGTGTGCAGCGGCTGCAGAGCAGCTGCCGGCTTGTGCAGATAGTTCTGGGGCAGCTCCTTGGGCTGGTAGTGATCGTAGTAGGCATGCTGATGCGGCTGGCTTGTGCTGTAGTGCGGCCGATACTCCTGCGGCTCGTTGACAATCACGGCCTTCCAGTCGCTCTCCTGCACCGCATAGTTGGGCTGCAGCTTTTGCGAGAACTCCTCCAGCTTGTGCGCGGCCGCGATCTCCTTAAAGTAGTTGTCCCGCGCCTGCTGCAGCCGATTCCTGATGTCCGGCTCCAGTTCCATGGGCACCTGCTTGATGCGCGCATGCGGCTTGAACTCAATCAGGCTTGGAATCTTTGGATGCGAGTGCGTCAGATCCTCGATGGGCTTCTTCAGCGGCTTTATGTCGGAGCTCAGCACAATGTGCTCCTGATCCTTGCTGTAGTGATTGATCTTCGACTGGGATGAGTCGTCGTTGGGGCCGCTTTCGCCCTCGGGCGACTCCGTTATCGGATGCGAATTGGCGCCCACAGTCTTCACGATGGCATTGAAGCCCTTTTTGGCATCCGCCGTGTAGTGCACGGTGCGTATGGAGCCATCCGGCTCGAGTATGCTATAATGCCCCTTGACCCCATCCCCGTCCCTGGACTCCCATTGGGACTTCACATCGCCCGTGTTCAGATCCTTCACTCCATAGCTAAACGCGTATTCCGGATGTTCCTGTGTGATGTATTTTAAGAAATAAAAAATATATGTGCTTATTTTAGTTATAATTGAAAATATATATTTATGTATAATTTATATAAAAATAATATAGTATTATTATCATTGTGTAATTATAAAATATATATTAAATATTATATTAAAATTGAATATTAAATTATATAATTATGTAATATTGTAAGTTATATTTTTGGCAATATTTATATTTATTTATTACATGATAAAATTGGACATTCATTGCTTTAACTTCTAAGTAAATACGAATATATGCACATAATTCATTTTCTAAGCTATTTACCACTACTAAATAAGTGGTTAAACTATTTCGCTTATGTATTAACAAAATTTGCTAAGTGTGCCTTCAAAATGCGTTGACCACACCTATTCAAAAAAAAAAAAAAAAAAAAAAAAAAAAGCGAGTAGAAAACAAAAATCAGACCAAAATCAGACGCACACGCACCGCTGCTTTAATACTCCAGTGACTGCCACAAAAAATTCTATAGAATTTTTATATACATATATATTCACGACAAAACGTCGAAAAAACTTCGAAATAAAGTAAGCACCGTTTTGGCTTAGACTTGGGTCTGGAAATTGTGTCAAGGCAAGAACACGCGCTGTGCACAGTTTGAAAGCCACTGGAGGCTGGGTTGGGTCGGTTCTCTTGGGCTAGTCCATGTCTATAAAATGATCTTTTGATCTGCAGCCGACACGCGAGTCAAACGATATTTAATTATTAATTGAATAATTCGATAAAGATTTGATCTCTTGACACTTTGGAAAGCGAATGGGAGCAGCACTTCAGAACTTTCCATAAAAGTCATTTGCAAATGGCTTTACATGCGTTCATTTAATCTACTTGAATGTGGAGCATTGTCATTTGTCTTTGTCTCTTTAGGTATTTATTGGATTTGATTTTACTTTAGCACCTCTCTGCAGAGGCAAGAGGCGAATTGCCAAAGTATTTCGCATGCTTTTCGGCTCTGGCGTCAATTAAGCGCAGACGTCCATAAATGGCTGCAGTCGTGTCCAGGCAACAGTCTACCCAGTCTCAGTCTCAGCAGTGTCTCGGGTCGAGTTTAGTGCTGTAGTTGTTGGCTGCCTATCAATTTGCTGCGGCGCGGCTGTCGCTGTCCGACGAAAACAAATGATTACATTGCGAGTGCGTAACCTGAGCAGCAACAAAATCAAATCTATTTGAGCAAAAATATTGTTTTTAATCAAAGCTACTTTTTTGGAGCTAGGCCGGTTGCATAAGTGGCATGCGGTAGGCGGAGCTGTTGACCATTGGCCACCCAGGAGTCGGCCCCAGTTGGTGGTCGACAGAAGGCCTTAATGTTGCTGCTGCTGCTGCTGCCGCTGCTGCTGCTGCGGTGGGTGCGTGTGAACTTTGGCTCATAAATTTGCGCGTGCGCTCTGAATTTATGATGGCCGAAGCGACTAATCGACTGTTTGACTGCTCGACTGCTTGACTGTTTGACTGGGCGTATGCGCAATACGTGAATGTGCCACAATTATATGTAAATTGCGTATACGCTGCGTTGGCCGCGTGCATCACAGCGACAATTGCGACAGCGGACAGTTCGTGGGAGACTGCACAAAGCACTTGGATAACCACTAGACAGACAGAGAGACATACGGACAGACCGACTGTCAGACAGGCGCTGGCAATTCAAGGCGTCGCACCAGGCGGACATTTGCGGCAGACAGATGGACAGACGGAAAGACTGTTGGATAGACGGGGCGACAACTTGTTGCTGCAGCACATGAAAAACATTTTAAAATGTTAAATGCGCCTTGTCATAGCTTTACAGTTACAATGAAAACAATTGTCTCCTTTCGAGCAGCGAGTAGGTGCAGCAAACTGCGTGAGTTTGCCTTATATGGCGCCAGCACTCGATCTCTGATCGCTGATCGCTGAACGATCAGATCGTGTGCGCTGCACGCAAAACGCATTTTTGGCTACCAGAGCAAAAGAAAGAAATCAACAATGGCTGAGAGACCGGGAGGCAACCAAACAGACAGACAGACAGACGGAAAGACAGCCAGCGAGCCAGCCAGGTCGGGCTGGGCCAGACCAGATCAGCTGGGGCCACTAGCACCAGTTGATTTATGTGGGCGACGATCTGTTGCACACGCAGAGAAAAATGCCTTGTGGGTGGGGACGATCATAAAACGCATGAACAACATTCACTTCGAATAGCTGGCAATGGCGAAAAATGCGTTTGCCGCACTTAAATATACATACACCCATACATATACACACACAAATATATATATATAAATAGTGTCGGTAGTTGAAAGAATTGCGATTTGGCAAAAATGCGAAGGCTATAAAACATTTGAAAAGTTATCAAATTAAGCCAAGCTGCAACGATTTGCACGGCTTAAGCTCTGGCATTCTGAGTAAAGGGAGAGTGAAGTAAGCTAAATTGAAGTGTGTGTATATGGCATATATGGATATTATTTAAGGTAAGCGAAATATCTCTGGATATATGGATATTATTTAAGGTAAGCTAAATGTCTCTGGATATATGGATATTATTTAAGGTAAGCTAAATATCTCTGGTTACGCTCTCTATCTCTCCCTCTCGCTCCCTTTTTCTATTGCTCAATTGACATCGTTTGGTATGCTGTGTGCGAGTATTATTACGGGATTGTCTTATGATTTTGTTTACTATTTACGCATTCAAAAATTAAGATGATTGAACATATGGCGTTAGTTAATAATTCAAAATACTTTTGTAAATAAAGAATAATATGACAATATATAAATAATAAAAGAAATTTACATAAATAGTAATATAATTTGATTGATTATTAATAATTCATTTTTTAATTAAGGAAAATAATTAATTAATTATTGTATTAATAAATGAATTTTGTTTTATATAAGGAATAATATATATATATAAAATGCACTAGCTGTTTATATATAAAAATTGATAAAAATAATTATTATTCATAACAAATGTTATTTTTGTTGTTTAAATAAACAATAGAAAATATAACTAAAATTATATTAAATATTAAAATATATTAATTATTTAAGAATATAAATTAATATTAATACAAATTAAAAATTAAAATTAATATAAATTGTGAATAATGTAAAAAATATATTTCTGATTTTAAGTGATGTAAAATATAGAAATATATTAATTAATAGAAATATTAATTATTAATTACATCTGCTTTTGTAAACGAAAAGATATAAAATTTATGAAAATATAAAAAATAAAATAAATATTAATAAAAGTTAGTAAAATCATAAATAATTTAAAAACAAAATAAATAAAAAAATTATTTCCCCTTTGTCAAAAATATACACAATTTACGCAATTTTAATTAATTGTTTACTTAAGCACCTACTAAAATCTTTCATTTTATATAGGCCAAGCTCTGTATCATTTTTTATGCCGAAAAATCCAATTTCCGCCCCATTGTGCGTGACTTGTCAATTTTTTAAATTTCGATTTCGAGAAGCTCGTCAGACATATTTAGTTACCATTGGGCTGGGGGCTATTGGAGTCGGGATATACATATGTGTATGTGTATAGGTATGTGTGTATTTGGATACTTACAAATTGTGGAGCATATTCGATCATTTCGTCATCATCCGCAACGACGACAGGTGCGGCTGTGATACGCTTGCATTCCACGGGGCGTGTCCAGAGGCTGACCGTAAGCAGAGCCGTTGTGAGGAGCAGCAGGAGGCGGCCGGCGCTGGGGGTTGGAGGCGGCTGTCGCGTTATCTAAGGCATTTAACAGAAATATGAATGTGCGGTTTTTGGTCTTTATCAGCGGAGCGCTTAATAAATGCAACGATAAAACAAGTTGACCAACAGCCAACAGTTAATAAATTGGCTACAAAATTATTACGCGAGCATGGGCCAATTAATTGGCCAAACGGCCAAACAGCCAAACGACGCATGTTCAGATGCATTGGGACATTTCTCAAGTCCCCAATCCGATTCGGCATGTCATACAGCGTTGTGACAGTTGTCAAATGGTAATGGTAATACGCATACGCCTCGCTCTACCCAAAATTAGGCTCCGCCAGACGCACATTTGTGTGTACGATGTGACAGCAATGGCTTCGGCTCGGAGATTGATGGCTTTGCTTAAGACCAGTAGCTTGGATATGGAAACAGGTCTGGCAGGATGGCAGTTGACGCCACGTACAATTCAATTCGATTTCAATTTCAATTTCAATTGCCTGTTGCCTATTGCCTGTTGCCAATTGCCAATGGCCATTTACAACTTGTAGCTGATTTTTAAGTTTTGGGTCTGCCGAAAGTTGCAACACACATTTTTGGGCAATTTCTTTTGCTGCCACGATGAAATCTGTCTAATTAGTAGAGTTGTGGCTGCACCAAAGACAAACACACACACAGCATATACAGTTGTCTATGTATAATAATGCAAGTTAATCGGCCGCATTAAGATAAATTTGTTGAGACATGTCTGGCATTCGATCAGAATGTCTATACATGTTTTTGCACAAATTGCATTTGGAATTCTTGTCATTCCACAAGCTAAAGCGTATTTAAATTTCAACAACTACCAGTTTCATGAGATACAGATATAAATATAGATTTCGATTTTCATATCTGATTAGCTCGGCAATTAGTTGATTGGGCTGATTTCTATGAATATGTGATTAAACATAAGCAAATTGTTCAAGGATGTGAACCGGATCTAGTTTTCATAGGAAAAATGTTTCTCAAAGTTTATATACAAGGCAAAATTAGCTTAGCAACATTCATTGTAGCTCACATTCTATGAATACGTCTGATTTTGATAACTTTTGAATTGCCAAATTGATTGGAGTAGAGTTTGTATTCATGCTAAACATGTTTGTTATTTTGTTATATTTTTAATTTATATTTTAATATATTTTATATTAAGAAATATTTTAAAATAATTTAAAATATAATTTGTATAATTTAATATATATTATATTATATTAAAATACAATTGAAAAATTTAACTGAATTTCATTTTAAATATTTTTTTATATAGAATAAAATATAAATTATAAAAAAAATCTAAAATTCAATTTACCTATAAGCTTTTCCATTTAGCTTAGAGCAACCAAAAATTTAAAAAATTATATATATAAACTTTCCCTTGTACTAGAAATTTTGGTACTAAAATTTCTATCCCACTCTCAAAATTTTTCCAGAATTGACACATCCGCATTAAGTTTGTAATTTACTCAAAAGTTGATAAATAAATTTGAATATTGATGCATTAAACAGGAAAATATTGATTTGCATTTGCATGTGCATTGCTTTAAATTTCTGCACTACTTTCACTTTTGGGGGTGAAAGTTTTGGCTCAGCACTTTCGCTCTTATTGCAGTCAGCAAAGTTTGTCAAATATTTAACACTTACATAGAAACGCATGGCAAACACGTATATTTATTTATTTAAATATATATATTCCAGGTATATATATTTTATTTAAAAATTGTGCACACAAAATATATGGTTTACGTCACTTTGGCGATTTAAATCGCACGTAAAACGCGTCAAAGTCGCTCGCTGCTCACTGCTCGTTGCTCGTCACACACTGGTTCAATGTCAAGGACAAAAACGTAATTAAAGCGTTTGCGCGACATTGCCAAAGTATTTATAGGCAGACTGAAACGAAGACGACCGGCACAGCAGGCAGGCAGTGCGCCACAGCGTTTTCCCGGCGACAAGATTTTCCGGCCCAACTGGTTCCACAATTGTTGTCGATGCGATCAGCCGAGACGGCAGCGATGCGCCACAGCCACAGCCGAGTCGAACCGAGCTGAGCAGAGCAGAGCAGAGCAGCTTCACGCTTCCTAAGCTACGTTTAATTGACAATTATATGAAACTTTAGCTGCCATCTGCAACTGTGAAAACGAGTTTTCGTTTCGCTATCGCCAGGCAGCAGCAGCCGCTGCTCCAGCATCATCCAAACACCAATTTGGCTGTCTCCACTTTTGGTTTCAACTGCAAACGAGTAAAAGTCTTCGGTCTTTGGCGCTCACAGCGCAGCTGTTGACTGGCGTTATAAAATTTATATCAGGCAGGATTACGTTTTGGATTTAACATAAATTAATAGCGATCGGCTTGGGAATTTGCCAGCCATGTTAATTTCAACCCAACCACCAGAAACTGCACTGCCACGTTTGCTACCAACATAAGTTGGCCAAGCTGGTTAAGATGGATGGCATGCAACATGTTAATCACCGAAATCCACTTAAACCACAGCTAAAGATCTCAAAGATAGCCTTATCTGATTACATCAATTTTATAGGACAACTAAATTGGTAATCTGAATTTAATTACAGATTTCCGAATGGAAATGTGTGAAATAGAATATTCATATGGTTTATAGCATTAGAAAAGCAGAATCGGAAAGGAGGTTGAGCTGGATTGTTGAACAGCTATAAATTCTGGTTGTTTTCTTTGGTAAAAAAAAAAACATATTTTTTAATTTAATTTTTATTTTTTATTTTTTATTTAATTATATTGGTAGACGAGAATATCATTACTGACACAGTTATAATTATTTTCGTCAATTTATCATTGTTGCAGCAGCTGAAATTTTTATTTTTTAGTCATGAATCATGATTACAATATATTTATTTATTTATTTTTTTTTTATTGGCATATTTAATTGCCAGCTACCGATGCGTGATACAAGACATAGTATTTGGCTTATATAAACTGTTTTTATTTTTATTTAATTTAGTTTATTTATTTATTTTTTCATTTGGCTTATATAAGATTTTCTGATTCATTTTATTTATTTAAATTACTAAACTTTTTCAAATAGTTTTTTTTTTGGTTTTGGAAATATTTTAATATATTTTAGTCGGACATAATCAATTTTCTAATGCTTGTTTACTAGGCAAAAGCTATTAACTTCATTAGAAAATCAATATTTTCGTAGGTTTGGCTATATTATTTATAATATTCACACTATGTGGGTTTCCAATGCCCTGCGATATTTATTGATCACTCATTAGCCATGCCACTTCAATTCAAATTAAACATTGTTAAATTCCAGGCTCTATCATCGGCAGACTATTGGCACCTTATACATAAGTTTCACCCAGAGTTCTCAAATAATTGATGAGCTTGCCTCGATGTCTGCTTATAAGTGTCTTTACACTCTGAGAAAAAAATCAAAGAGCAATCGATTGCATCGTTGCTTCAACGAGTTCGTTACAGATCGATCGGAAGCCTTTTCTCTCACCTTTTATTTGAGTTATATGAATGAAGTAAAAGGCTTTCTGTGTGTGTATTGGTAAGAATGCAAAGCCATTAATAGTGTGCGTGACTTGAGTGTGAGCATGTGTATGTGAACAAGAAGACAAATTGCTCACTTGCTGAACCTCATTGTGCGAACGTCTATCGTGACTCTCCCTAAACGATGTTCGTGAAATGAGCTTGACACGAATACTTCAACTTAAGGCGCTCAGCAGAAAACAGAAACGAACAGAACCGAAGGCTATTGCTCAGAGCGAGAACAATTGAATACGATTCTGTGCTCGGATATAAGCTGTTCATATATTGTATATAAGTTATTCTCTTTCAGCTGGCTGTCCACATTTAAACACATTTAATTGTCTTTCTTATACTTTGTTATTATTTTTATAAAAATTACTCTTAAGTTTACTGTATAAAGCTCATTTGGTTGTCTGTTATATCTGCATGTGGATTATAATATATAAGTATGTTCAGATCGGGATAGATTATTGCACATTTGTCTCCTTTGTTGCCTCTCCAAGTCGTCGTCAGATTTCTAGTGCAGCTGCTTTACGCTCACATAGCTGCTGGCGTGCCCATGTCCGAGTCCATGACCGTAGCCAGCATAGGGGGACAGATCGCTGGCGTAGCCATAGCCAGCGCCATAAATATCGCCATGGCCGTAGCTCTTGTAGACCTGTGGATGGTGGGCATGGCCCAGTTTCTTGACCACCGCATTGAAGCCATTGTGATCGTCGGCTGTGTACTCCACCACGCGCGTGGTGCCATCGGCCTCCTTGAGGGAATAGCTGCCGTGCACCTTGTCGCCGTCCCTCGCCTCCCACTGGCTCTTGTGGTCGCCTGTGTGCGCATCCTTCACACCGTAGTCAAACTGATATTTCGGGTAATGATCTGGCTCGTGCTTCTCATAGCCATGTCCATAGCCTCCATAGCCTCCATAGCCAGCATAGCCAGCGTAGCCCAGGCCTAGGCCATCGTATCCATAGCCGTGATCGATGAGTCCGTGTGCGTAGCTCTTGTGCACCGGCGCCTCGTGCTTGGTCAGCACGCTGTAGCTCGTCGCATGTCCGTGTCCATGCGGCGCCGCCAGCGCCAGACCCAACAGGCCAAGTACCAAGACTCCACTGAATGGCTGCATTTTCGTCTGTCTTGCGTTGAGAACGGATTGACGAGGTGCTGATGTCTGTTGGTTCTTGCCATTGCCACGAGTCGCTTTTATAGCGCTGCCCACGGCCCAACGGGTGGTCGGACTCTCGGACTCTCCGCCTCGCGCTGGGCCGAGAGCCATTCACCTGCCTTCGATTGGCTAATTAGTTGCGTATAATTACAGTTTACTTAAAAGCGCCGAGCTGCATTGAAAATACTATTATATATAATAAATCATATTCTGGCCCATTGTTGGCCAAGAATTGAACCAATTGGAGGGCATTTGTGATTGAAAATTGAATGCATTCGCATGTTGAAAATAGAGATAGAAACTGGAAGTTCAACAAATTTCTAATATGGGTTTATTGTGAATTAACTTATGGACAGATACAAATTTTATTATCTTTGTTATTTACTAATTAACAAAATATAGTTTTGTTTGAAATGTTGCTTTGGATTTATGCAGACAAAAATATGATTAATTACAAAATTGATCAAGCAATACAAAAAGTTTTCGTATTTAAAGATTGTTGTATTCTTATTGAAATTAAAATAATATTAATTTAATTTTATATAGAATTTTGCAGTTTAATATTTAAGTATAAATTTAAAATATATATAATACCCATAAGTGGTGATATTATTTATTTATTATTATTATTATTATTACTATTTTTTTTTTAATAATGAAACAATTTACTTCAAATTTAACAGAATGATGTTAGCTTGCATGTAGTTAGCATAATTATTGTAGCCCGATTTTAACCAACAGTTTTCCTAATGCCTCTAATATCTGTTGTTTTTTTTTTTTATTATTTATTTATTTTATTTTTTTTTATATGTAATTTTATATAATTTTATAAATATTATAAACTAGCTTAATATAAGGCATGTCTAATACATTTTTCTTACACACAAATTCAGCAATTCACATTCTGTAATTGTAAATTAATTCTAAAGACATTTTGTTATTTGGATTTAAAATTTTAATATTTAATTTATTGACTAATTCGAGATTTGTGAATGTCGATTGTTTAATTAGAATTGTTTTTTATAAATTGGAATTTATAAATTCCAACCTTGCCTTTTTGCTAACGAGCCTATTTTGCAGATGTTAAATGCCCAGCCCTATTGGCACCTCACACCGTGATAAACCAGCCAATAACAATTAATCATATTTTATGCCCGAAAACAAATCTGTTTCATTAGCCGGTCTTTAGTTTAGCACTAATTCGGAAGCACTACGAGCCCCCCTCATGCCGGCCATAACTGGCCAACTCCCCTGCTGCAATGGGTCTCAAGGTCATTTCAGAGTTTTGGCTTGGGCGAATAACAAAAAAAAGAAGAAACGAATAAAAATAAAGCAAACCACTTGAAGCTTGGCTTGCAAATGCAGCCAGCCGAGGCATTTGTTGTTTTTGGCTGAAAATTGAAAGCGGGCCACACTTGTTGATTGATTTCTAACAGCCAAAGCAACAACAACTTCAACATTTCAGGCAACAACAATAGTTGTTCAAGCGTTGCGGTGCTTTTTGGTCTGTTAACGCCCCATTTATTAATCGCTGTTGCCGCCGTTGAAGTGGCTTTTGGGCCGCTTTTAATTGGGCAATGAGCAAGCGGGCCAGCAGAAATTTTGAATACGTTATTTGGAAATGGAAAATTTGCACAAATATTTCAAGTATTTTTTTCATCTTTTTTTTTTCTTTTTTTTTTGAATTGTATTTGATTTGATTTAGTTTCGTTTTGTATTTCAGTTATGCTGGCCTATTTAACCTCCAGAAATCTAATTAATTAACATTTCCTTTCAGCTTGAGAATGTTTCGTGTGTGGCTATAAAAAGGTTTGGCGCCGTTCGTTTGGCATCACAGTTCCATTGGCGCTTCACCACAAGCCAGCTCAACTCAGTTCCTCAGGTCTACTTAACCAAAAATCACTTAACTTAAATGGCTCAGAAATTGACTTTGGTTTGCTGCGCCCTGCTGGGCGTGGCGGCGGCCAGCTATCTGCCGCATGGCGGCTATGAGCACGGCCATGGCGTGGGCTACAGCATCAAGACGCATCACGAGGCGCCCAAGAAGTGGCACTGGGCACCGCAGCAGGAGCAGCAGCATTATTATGTGGCCGCAGCACCGCAGCAGGTGCACCACTGGGCACCACAGCACCACCATGTGGCTGTGGAGGAGGCACATCATCATCCCAAGTATCAGTTCGACTATGGCGTCAAGGATACCAAGACGGGCGACATTAAGCAGCAGTGGGAGACGCGCGACGGCGACAAGGTGAAGGGCGGCTACACCATGAAGGAGGCCGACGGACGCACTCGCATCGTGGAGTACACGGCCGATGACCACAACGGCTTCCAGGCTGTGGTCAAGCACATTGGACACGCCTATCAGCCGGCGGAGCATAAGTCATACGATCATAGCTACTATGGCCATGGACATGGACATGCCAGCAGCTATGTGGATGTGAAGCAGGACACGGGCAGCAAATGGTGGTGAATGGAAATGGAAGCTAGCTTATGATAATAGAAGAGAACTGTTTGAAAATGAATGCCAATACGATAAAAATATAATAAATATTATAGCAAGGATAAATGTAACTAAAGGTGTTTTATTCTAGTGAAAATTGGAGAATTTTACATTGTGGCACTCGCACTTTTAAACCATATTTTCCGGCATAAAAATTAAAGTTTGAGAGTCATAGGCTATGCTCTGCAGCCATTGCACTGCTTTCAAGTCGAGTTTTAGTAAGGCATGAACTGCTTGATAAATGAGCAGCAGTCGTTTAATTTTGAACTGCTTGAAATTCACAATTTAAATAAAAGCCGTTAAGCCTTTCTAAAGTTTATTGTGACAGATGAATGAAAATTTTATTGTCTATAAATAAATAAGTTTTTAGTCAACATTTTACGTTGGCAATTAATTTATTTCAGCATGAGTAACAATCATATATGAATAATATGTAAACAACATATGAATAATATAGAGAATAAAATAAAAAAAAATTATTAAATCATTATATCTGGTTTTTATTTATATCATTTTATTTTAATTTTAATTTTTAATTATATCTGTTGTGCTTAGTGTTGAATAAAAAGACAATTGCATATATACTTTGTATAATTTATATAAACTACATATATAAAAATTTAATTTTTGCTGTTCTTTAAGCTGCAAAAAAACCTCTTCACAAATTCCAACTCTTCTTGCGCAAATCTAATAAAAAGCTTTGCAAATTAACCAAAATATCCGATTAGTTCAGCAGCCTCATTCAAATTCATCAATTCAACATTAATTTATGCCGCGCAGCAAAGTTTTGCGGTCACATAAATCTGCAAGTGTTGCGAGACCGCAGGGCAAAGATTTTCGAGAATCTGGCATCTGGTCAAGCTGATTGAAGCGTCGGCACGGAATAAGCTCTTAAGTCTGCTGCAAAGCTGCCTATGTAAATGATGGGATGCATTTATTGTCTACAGAAGAATTTCGACCGCCGACAATTGTTGTTGACAATTTGGTGCAAGGGCTTCAGATAAGGAGAACTCACATGTGTACCTACACATGTATATGTATGTATATATGTATATATGTATATATGTATTTGCATTCGTGCTGAAAACGATAATAAAAACCTGTGCATTTTTGGCTCATAATTTGCCTACGTACCTACGCTTGACCTAGCCCGACCCTTTGCCGCTTTATACGGTTTCATTAAATATGCAAATGAGCAGTGGAAATTGCGGCTGCCTTAACGAAAAATAAAATAAAATAACCAAAAAAGGAGAGCGCAAAAAAAAAACTTAAATTGGGTAGGTGAAAACGGCCAGGTGAGCTCGCAAGACAAACGCATGCCAGAGACCCGCTCTGAGTTGGCGGTGGAGACCCATCAGACCAGCCGTGAAATTTATACAAAGAGTTCACATTGCACTTTGTTAGTTTACCAAAATACACTAACAGAAAATGGAGACTTGAGGAGATTTTAAGTAATTGAAGACAAATATAAATATTATATGTATATATAAAAGTTTTATTCTAAGAATATGATTTTTATATTATTTCTTAGCTTACAAATGGAAAATGTTATGGATATACATAAGTCCAGCTTTACTTCTGCTAAAATTTTCTTAAAAATTAAATGATTTGCTCACAGATTAACCTAATTGCTTATATAGGCAATATTATTGCACTCTTCTATGAGATTCTCATATGTATAAAAAACTGCAAAGGCATACTGTTTATGACTTGCACAACTATAATAATTAAAAAAAAAAAAAAAAAAAAAACAAATAATAATACAATATATTTATTTAGGGTTAAATATGTTAAGAAAAATGCAATAATAAAATAGAATAAAAAATAAAAATATAAGAAATAAATAATTATGAATGAATACAGTAATCCACCATTTCGCCATCACCTCCAGATGTGCCATCAATAATTCTTACCTTTACTTCTCTTTTTCAGCTATTGGCAGCGTATACAACATTCGTTGGCTTTCGTAATCCGCGACATAAGTCCAACGTTTTGCTGGCTGTAGGAAATTGGGAGCCAGAGTTACTGAGTGAACGAGTCGAAAGTCGAATTAAATCGCCAAGTCCGAAATGAATGAAAGCAGCCAGAGCGAGAGAGTGGGAGAGCGAGCGAGAACAAGCATGGAATAAATGAATGAAACGAAATGTAATGAAAACGAAGGCGACGCTCACAACGAAAAGTGCAACGCGTGGAAAAACTGTTGCCCTCTTTTTGGGCGTCTTTACTTTCTGCTGCTGCTTCTGCTTCTTCTTTTTCGTCTTCTGCAACTTCAACTGTTATGACAAAAATAAAAATAAAGAAAAGCAGCTGCAGCGACAGCAGCAGTAGCGGCCAAACAGAAAGTTTTGCCTGATTTCGGCGCCGCTCAAAGTATAATAATGTGCTGCCCCTGCTGCTGCTCCTGCTGCTGCTACTGCCGCTGCCTGCAACGACAACGCCAACGATGCAGGGGGCGTGGCCATGGGCTATGTAGCATGCGGCTTGTGCCGCTTCAAGTGCACACTTTCTCATGGCTTAGCACTTTGGTGCATAGTTCGTTGGTTTTTGTAGTGGGCCGAAGGCGGGGTCGGACGGCGGTTGGGGTTTGAGTCGGTTGGCCAGCTTATGCAACAAATAATTTAATTTTATGCTGCATACAAAAAGGGAGCACGATGCGAACCAAACGAACCAGCGCACGGAGCCAAACGAACCAGCGAAGGAGGACGACAACGGAAATGCCACTTTACGGCCTGTTTGACGGCGAAGTGGACGTTAAGTTGTGAATATGATGACGGAGATGAAGAGATGCAGCAACGATTATGACAAGCATCATGATGATAATGGCGACGATGATGATGATGTGGCTGCTGCTGCTCATGTTGATGACGGCAACATGAGCAACAAGCGGCAAGCGGCGGCAAACTGAAATATTGCGCATACGCCGCCTGGGACAGCGGAAAATCGTTGGCAATGAGGTCGAGCCGTAAAACTGGGCTAAATGTCACATCAGGCACAGGCAGACATACAGACAAACAGACAGACGAGTAAAGTAGTCACCCGGGATGGATGTCATAAAAAATGAAACGAAGGCTTAGGCATAAAACTGAATTGCAGCAATCGAGTCTAAGCAAATTATGCAATCATAAATTTACACATAGAATCATATGTGATGTGGCAAAAGTTTGCGATGGGTAAATATATTTTTTAAACTTGCAGTGTGTGAGAGAGAGAGAAATAGATAGATAGAGTGAGGGAGAGAGAGAGAGAAAATATGAGAGCGGGTTCAAAGTTGTCAGTTAGATTCAAAAATGACAAGAATATCCCGAATTAAATAATTTGATTTGTAGAGACAGTAGCTCTAATGAATTGTTGAGCATTTGCGAGACAGTCGTCGCGACGTATTTTGTCTTCCCTTAAATATTTTATTATTTTCCAGAATTCCAAATAAAGCTCTCTTTTCTCTCTTTTTCTCCCGCCGTCCGACAAATTAGGCATGAATAAGCGGCTCTCCCACAAATTTCAATACCAGGAATCTGATTGCTTCAAGGAATTTCTACGAACCGTAAGGCATTTGCTTGTTTACAAGCTGTTGAGCAGACGCCCACGCCCTGTTTAAGCTAAAAATATTTTGAAACATATCTTCCTCTGATCTGTGTCTGTAGGGCTCCTTTGAGAATCGAAATCGCTAAATAGTTATCGAATTAAATATCGATGTATTGAGTGTCATATCATTCAGTTTCTGTCATTCAGTCAGCATGTATCGAAATCGATAAATAGTTATCGAATAGTTATAGAACGATTTTTTTTATCGAACCGATAAATAAATATCCAAATAGTTATCGAAATTGATTATTATTTATCGGACTCGATCGGTTGACAAACGAGTGGCTTGATGTGATCAATATATCCACAAGTTTCATAGAGCATGCATTGAGTGTCATATCATTCAGCTTTTGTCATGCTGCTGCCTTAACTCAACTTTCAAGTTTAATTTTTATAACATTCACTAGAAAATTTGGGCACATTTTCATAGTTGTTCATAAGGCTACGCTTTCTATTTAGCATGCCTTCTATTATGATCAATATTGCACAAGTTTCATAGATGTAACATGCATTGAGTGTCATATCATTCAGCTTTTGTCAGGCAGCTTCAGAGAATATAGCTTCTGCCATAAATTCGCTAGAAGATCTAAACTTGGAGCATTTCTGTGAATGATATGATTATGTTATCTATTTCGTGAGCAATGAGGATAAGTAGTTCCATAAGCTTCATATTATTCAGTCTTTGGCATTCAAGCCCCTTCCATCGAGTCTCGTAGCATTCACCTTTTGTCATGCTGCTGCCTTAACTCAAGTTTCAAGTTTCGTTTTTGTAACATTCCCTAGAAGAAAAGTTAGCCACAGTTTTATAGCCATTCATAAGGCCAAGCCTTCTATTTAACGAGCAAATTATGGTAAATATTTCCACAAGTTTCATAGATGTACTATATCATAGATTGATAAATCGAGTGCCATATCATTCAGCTTCTGTCATGCAGCTTCTGCCATAAATTCGCTAGAAGATCCAACCTAAGAGCATATACATTTCTGTGAATGATATGATTATGTTTTCAGTTTCGTGAGCAATGAGAATCAATATTTCTATTAGTTTTATATTTTTAGTCTTTGGTACTTTCCATCGAGCCTCGTAGCATTCAACTTTTGTCACGCAGCTGGCTCAACTTATGGCTGATGGTTGTTCTGTTGGCTGTTGGCTTTTAGCTCTTAGCTGTTAGTTTTTAGCTTTTAACTGTTAGTTTTTGTTGGCTGTTCTGTTAACAGCTGGATGTTCTGCTATCCGTTGGCTGTTTGCTGTTAGTTGGAGTTGTTAGTTAGTTGCTCTCTCTCTCTCTTCCTCTGCCTCTCTCCCCGATTCTCACCCTTTCTATCTCTTTCTATAAAGATGTATATACCTCTAAATTTCCAATTCAGAGTTCTGCTCCATTAGATATATTTATGGTGTTGCTTGCTCTTTCAGTGCTAGCAGCAGATGTTTTGGCCGCAATTAAAGCACTCAAATGACCGCAAATGTTGTTGACGACGATGACGACCT